CGCGCACTTTGGTTCTTCATCCTATGTTAACATTTGATGACAGCAGCTGGGGCAGACCTCCAGATTCTTCGAGAACAACTACCACTTGCGTATGTACGACAACGACAATGTTGGTAATAACTCTCTGATGGGTACCAATATCCCCGCTGGCGAGAACATGGCTGGCGGCATCAACGTCAATGCTGCTCTTCACAAGGACAAGAACGCTTTGCGCAACCCCGCTGTTAACCCTGTTCTCTACAATAATGACATGTACCATGATGACGCTGTCTCTGGAAGTGGTGGAGAGGGTCTTTCTGACTCCTCCAACTAGATCCGTCTCACTTCTCCGCCAGTGGTTCACAATCTCATCTGCTTTCTTCTTGCTAGGGCAATACGAATCACTCGGCCCAGGTCCATTATGGAATGGAGACATAGGCTCACACACCAACCTTTCCAGCAGTATTGGCACAAAATCATTGTATCAATGGATCTTTGATTCACAAGTGGAGTGATTCCTGCTTCGGCATTGAAATCGCTTGGCATATGAGAATTTCAGACACATTGGTTCTCTTACCAGTACTTCCAGCTTATTACATTTCACTACGTCGACTCGGCAGTTCCACCATTACAAATATCCGACTGCATCATAAATTTCTGGCCCACCATACCAGCTCTTCATGTCTTACGGACCCATTGGTCTTTGGCTGACTCTTACTGGTTCCGACCGAGCATCACCGAATGTCGACAACCTCGGAGTAGCTAGTGACTACACGGCAACCTTCGGCACACCGCTTTCACACAAGAAGGCCTCAGTAGGGCTCAGTTTCTCGACCGACTTTCTTCATGATCCAAGGTGATTCTGCCCAAACCTTATGGTTTCGCTCATCTAGAGGTCTTCAAGTATTCCAACCCGCTGGTTGACTATCGACGAGCTCATTTCTTCGATTGCCCGCCCTTTGGGAACCTCAAGCAGACGATTTCTCGCAACATTGTTTTTCATTTCCTTGCATCTCGACATTGGAGCGTTTCTGAGAGCTTTTAGCATCACGACTCACGACGTTGCCATTCTCTCGACAGTTGATCATTGAGAGAGCCTTTTGCGTCATAATATACGACGTTACGACATAGCGATTGATATCCGGTTTCGCGAACCCTTCATTCCCATTTGCACTTTGACATGCATTTTCATTCTTGTACATCGCCACTTCCGACGATACCTCATGGGTTTCTAGCATTGCCTACTCAGCCCGCACCCCGCCTAGCCCTACAGCCGCCAAAAAGGGAGGAGGATAAGTCAGATGAACGACCCCGCAGTTTCTGGTTGCTTGTTTGATGACACCACAGTGGCTCATCATGCTTCTAGGAAGGGGCTAGCATATGAATGTACGAGAAGACTAGATGGATGGCCGGCTTCCCTTGATCTAGTAGACACTTGGATGATGTCCTTCATTGGACATGGAAAAAGGACGAAGGCCTCTGGCATTGGACTAGAGGATGGATTGCGAGACGGTGGGTATACCCTTTGGCTTTTCTTGCACATTGATGACCTGGTAGGGTCGGTACTACCTGACTTCTGAAGAGAAGAATGACCTTGGCAGGGTCGATTCTGTCATGACCTCTGAACAGAAGACTTTAATTGTATTTTGATACGTCCATAGTCTAATGGACTCAAGAATAGTCCAACCTACCTGATAATCTGACGCAAGTGAATATTTGAGTGTTATCTTGTACAGTTGAACTGTCTGACTCTGAGATGCATACTTCTGCAAGGGGTGGAAAATCGCAAAGAAGAGAAAGGCACCAACCGTACTTATCCCCTCATTTACAACAATGTTAAACCCCAAACCCCAAACACAACAACTTTCTCAACCAATTTCTTCATAACCACTCCTTGTTTTGTAATGCAATCAGAGAAGGACCCGACGATTTTAAGTAGCGCGTGACGGACGCCGTTTCTTTCATTAAAAAAGGTAATGTGGAATCGGTGACCTGAGGTCGTGGTGAGATACACCTGAGATACTTTAGTGCCCCCTTGTGTGGCTTGGACACCCGTACCTCCCACCCCCAGCACTCCCCTTCTTTACCTTTATATGTAGTCGGAATACCAATTTTAATCCGATCCCACTTGTAATATAAAAGCCGCTATGTCCTTACGCTATGGTATTTACCCTTCTGCAACGCTTGTCACATGGAAGATAGACAGGGATACCCCTGGATAGGCTGTCCCACCTATATATACTCGTAGCCCTTTCTCTCTTTTCTTTGGTATCGGACTTATTGCAAGCTACAACAAGGCATGTGACTGAATATGTCTCTAATCTCCTCAACTCCAAAGAATTGAAGGTGGTTATAAGGGCCTTAAATACAGAAAAGTGTGCCTCTTAGCTGCTAGTAATAGAACTTTAAATTAGCTGCCGAGTACGAAAGAGCAAAGAAAGAGCTGGAAAAGAAAACGTTGAAGCTAGAAAGGCCGGTGCAGTCCGACATTCGGTTTAGTCTGCTTTACTACAGATAGACTAATATCGTAACTGTGGAATTGGTAGCCTACGGTCACGTGGGATACGGGCAAGATACTTAAGTGCCTTTGTGCGGCTTAGACCCCTCACCTGTACTTCCCTTCTTCACCTTCGTATGTAGCTGGAATACTAGTACCAGTGCGATCCCACAGTAACTTCATTATAGAATGCTGCATTTTAAAACATAGCCTAAAGAAACCTATAACTATGTCGAAACAATAACGAACAAATTACTTCGTCAGCTATCCACCTCCGATTATTGTATCGACGTAAACCTAACTTAAGAGGTAATTTCAGAGTGTATAATTACCAAGTTTATAATCGTAGTCCCTATAGAGAGAACTTTAAATCGGATTAGAAATAATTAGCTAATATACACTAAGAATCTCTAAACATAAAACTTCTCCAGGATAATCAAGACTCTGTCGATTCGATTGGAAATTGTACGAAGCGCACCTTCAATGATACTGGGCCTCATGGGACACTAAGCCTCCCGTATATATTGTGAAGGCGGTATGGTTGGTCAAATTTGTGCCAGTCAGCGGTTCGATTTGCGACCAGAGCCAGGTAGCATGGGAACTCACACTTGAAATAGCCGAACAAAGGGGCGAGCATCTTGATTGCGGCGAACCTACCTACTGATGTGGCCGTAGTGTGGCCACAGCACAAGCCAGAGACGCAACTACCTTCATATCCAGCTTCGTATTGAGGATCTGCAGGAAGCTTTTAATTACGAGTACTTGGTTTTGATGTCACGTTGCGATATACCTAAAGGCAAGTCAGACAAGTGCAAGACCTCAACACCCTCTCCACTGAGTTGCAGTTTGTTCGCATTGGCCGACTTCAGCTTGGGAAACGTAGCCTTGCACGGAGCAAGAACAGGCGCATCTTCAAGATACGTCGGTGCCAACATTGTTGTCATCTAGCCTACCACTAATACAGCGACGCACATGGAGCAGTTGGATGATACCGTCAGAGGATCCGACAGGTTCAGTGAAAATGTTATATACAATACTAGGCTGAAAAGAGCTGGTTGAGGTTCATTAGTGGGCTTTATTTTGATTATTTACTTCAATTCCCACTTGCAGCCTCTAGTCCGCATGAACATCGCCGGCATCATGCCTAAACTCGAAACATCTGCGCTTCTAGATCGAAAATTGTCGAAAAGCGTTGTTTCCGAGGCTCATCATACACATGGGTTAAGAGAAGGACCGAGAGCTTTTACCGGCATTTTCAGTATCGTACTTATTGTGCGCAAATAGAGTTGCATTTGCATTGAAGTGGTCTCTGTCCCACCAAAAGGTCAAAGGAGTGAAGGTGGCCGGCCATAAGAGCCTCGAGTAAAGAATAACATGCCTCTCAGCTGCCTTGTGAGGGCTAATCATGTCTGAGCATATCAGAGGTGCTATTCCTAAAGGTCCAACGTTTAGAGACCCGCTTTCAATTGACTTGCTCGCTAAGCCGAGGCGATTCCTCGCTATCCTGCTGGTATACCTGCTCACAAATTTAAGGGTTGTCACATGAAGAATCTCTGAGCTCCCGGTCGAAGACGTTATACTTGAGGTAGTGGAATGGCTCTATGACGTAGAAGTGTGACATGTCAGGCCCCCGTTTCCTTTGCGTCACACAAGCGAAGTGATACAATTGAATAATCGCATTGGTTTGTGACGGTGACTGATGAAGTGGCTGATCACGAACTTGACATCGTGTTGCTTGGTAGAGACTTGTTATAGAATAAAGGAAAGACTTATCAAGGATACGCCAATAGCCAGAGGAACTTGCATACAAATTTGAGCACACCAGAACATTCGCATCATGAACTATGATATCTTCTACGGGCAAAGCATTCGATTATCTGAAGCCTTCGGTCACTCCTGTCCAAACATTTCCGGATGTAGACAGCATAGTGCCGGCCATTATTCACCAAAAGCAGTGTGACCTCGTAAGAGACGCACAATATTACCCCATGGACAAATGTTTACTACCAAGCATTCTTCATAGACCACGCTTTTCCTTACCGGATGATGGATAGCATTAACGACCTCACTAAGACAGATCATATGGCTTAGTATGGAGAGATGTAGATAGTGTCAGATATATATTATGCCAGCAGTCAACATATTGGACCCACTTGCAAGCGCAAAGATTGAGCCTCTGTGAACTGAGCGCTCCTGGGTAGCTCTAGGGTGGGGATGTAGTATGGACGAGCAAGGAAGGACAACACAAGAGAGCAGTCTGATAACCAGCGTTCATTGCATACAACCAAAACTATCCAATGGGCCATCATGCGATGCATTATGTCTAGGGTCGGGTATGAGGGATTCGTAGAATACAGAAGCATACCACTTCAGTATGAAGACTGTTCCCCTCGGCACGGTAGACGACGTTAGTATCCAGGCTAAGTTGCATCACCAAATGAAGTTGGCCACAAAGTAATGCTAAGCCAAGTCCATCCCATCGCAACGCAATGGCAGGCTGCGTCCCCAGCCTACTTACAGAGGGTTAGTTCTCTGAAGATGCACGTGCAGCCTTCTCTTCATCATGTGGACTATTCGTGACCCCTCGATCCAGAGGCCGGCCGACCGCATCATGGGTCGAATCCCACTCCACTACATCATCAACGGGTACTTTCACAATTTTATGACTCTGCGCACCATTGCCGAGATTGAGAACCTCCTGTCGAAGTTCGTAACAGCGTAGCTTGGGAAGAGCCTTGGACCAGACGAAGTAGTAAACACCGCAGGCAATCAGACTATACGTTTTGAGAGTCTAATCAGCATGATGTACGGGAGCCGTTCGTATTAGCTAGAGGTGGTGGAACTCACATTCCAATCCCACTGACAACGTAAGTTCCATACCAGAAACTGACATCACCTGCATACTGTCCACCATTCGGTGGCCACCAGGGCATAACGAGGAGATACAACTGGACAAGAATGTTGAAGATTACAACTGGGTCCCAAGCTCGGAATTGAGGACGGGGCAGGTTGGCTTTTCTCCGTCGCCAGCGTACGACATATAGTCCCACAGCCATGGCGAGGGAGAAGGCGGCGGTCGGATAGACGGACAAATCACTGACTGCAGCCATGTCAGCACTATCCCTAAGATTTTACACTTTTTATTCCAAAGACTTACCAAAGTTGAAAGCATCTCCTGTCGGCAGCGCGAGAATCATCAATGCTGTGAGAAACCACTTAACAAAGTACGGGCCCAACGGAGTGCCGAAAGGTCTAGTGGAGGCCCAGAAACTGGTAAACGGCAAGACTCCTTGTCTGTTCAATGTGTCAGCGTCATGCGTGTCTTGGCACCGTCAATTATTTACTGACCGCCCACACTCCCGAATCATGCGAGACGAGCCCAAGAGAACAGCAATCAGGTTTCCGAACGAGCTCAAGGCAATGAGAAAGTTGAGTCCTCGCACGGCACCGCTGGAGCCAAACACGGCTCGAAAGAACAGGCTAGCTGCGATGGTGCCGGAACTCTGCAACTCTTCTTTCGAGACTAAGTAGTGAGCGTTAGCAATCTCTCTGTCTCATGAGTTGAGAATCGGACATGTGCTGGATTATTCACTAACCTGAAGCGAAAAATGCTATATTTGTCAAGAGATACAGCACGGTGACAATCATTAGAGCGATGAATCCATGTTTACGGATTGTTTTGATCGGGTTCTGTGACACTGTCAGACTCCTGTGATGGAAACAGATGGGTCAGACTTAACAACATACCTTGACTTCATTGACAACATTGAAAGCGTTCTCATAGCCAGCATAGGAAAATATGATCCTGTATAGGGCGTTGGTGAGCCCATAGGGGGTGGGCGACCCTTCCCACGCGGTCCGAAAGTTCGCCTGAGGATCGGCCACTGAGGTATGGCCACCTAGGACAACCAGGCCAGTAATGGCAACAAAGGCCAGTGTCAGAACTTTTACTACACCGATGCCGTTTGAGAGCAGATATGAAAACCTGGTGTGAAAAGACACAGCTGAGTATAGTCAGCTATTTCGTGTATCTTCTTCGACTGGAGAAACAGTATTACTTACCAAGCACGGCAACAGTGTATCCAGCAAGGGCAACTCCTTTTACTTGCCAATCTGTGCCTTTCGTGTCGGCGCACTGAAAGAGGTAGTTGGCGAGAACTGATAAAGATATCAGAAATGGTGACTTCTAGGGAATTGGGGATATTTACCAATAGCATTGCTACTACTAAAAGACAGAAGAACAGATTGAACTGCAAACGTCGTGGGGAAGAAATATAACGGGCGCGGGTAGGCTTGTTCAAGGAAGACTACTTCAGACCCTGATCTGCTGGGGAAGTACGAAGCGAATTCTAGATAGACAGAACCTGACGAGATGGAGGTCAAGAAACCGATGGCCCAGTAGATCATGCTCAACCCAATGGAGCCGGTGCCAGCTAGAATGGCCGATGCTGCAAACGAAATCAGTCGACTGGTAGCCTGCACGGAGCTCGTCGGCTTTCTTACGAGTTGAGTAGATGCCTGTGCCAACCATCTTACTGATGTTGAGAAAAATGATGGTAATGGGTCCGACCGAGTAACCCAGGGGAGAGTTGTTCTCGACCGGGGCACCGGTCGCTTCTTGACATGTGGCCGGGGCATCGTTGCCGCCCTTCTCGAAGACATACTTGATGCTCCCATCGGAGATCTCTCCCTCCTCTTGCTCAAAGACTGTACTTGTGCTGTGACTTGTGCTGAACGGGCGTCGCCATATCGCCATGATGAGTTAGAGTTGCACCACTGAGGGCGACTGCAATTGCAGGATACCGAACCAAACGATTGTTGTTGTGAGTTGGTACATGAGACAAACTGTCCAGCAAAACGAGCGTTGTTCGAAAGCTATATAACCACTGCATTGGCCCCCTGCCGTCGATCAACCAAATGACCCCAAACACAGCCAAGCAGGACGCCATTGGCCCAGACACGCAAGGTAGGATCCATTGCGAGAAGTTGAATACGGCTGCGGCCAGCAGATCTGCCAACGCTGGCGCACTCACCCCTTGTGTGACTACCGGTTGGGGGTCATAACAGGGATTAGGCGATGACGGGACTTGCGCGAAAATGGTATAATCCTAGTACCACCGTCCACGGCGTCTAAAATATCGAAACCCCCAACAAGACCAGTAGATAATGTTCTTGACCTCTTTTCTGTTCCACTGCAGGGAATACGAAACCCGGCATCTGAATATGCTGCATTGTAACCCAAAAGGGACTGGAGACGTGCCGTGGAGTGATAACCACAAATGACCGTTGAACGAGCTACCGGTCCGACTTCTTTCTCTTGGCATCTGTGACTGCTCAAATGCCAGGCATGGAATCTCCCGTGCTCGTCAAGTAGGATTTGAACTACGCGACAAAAATGCTGCTGCTTCTGCAAAACACTAATTCACCAGGAAAGAAGTATCTGTCGACAGACCATCTAGCTAGTCTGCCACAGCATATTGGAATTCGATATGGTTCATCAGCAAAGGTGGACAAGAAAGGAAAACATTGGGTAATACTTTCTTTACAATTGGATTAGATTGCCCAGTCTTTACAAAAGGGGAAATCGACCCAGTCTGGCGGGAACTGTCGTGGGGAGCTGACCCCTGGAGCACCCTTGCAATGCCAGCATTGGTATTGATCACGACATCTGAGGCCGGACAAACGCCTTGCGGGATTGCATTATGTCCAATACCTGAATTTCATTTGCGAGGAACAGTTCGATCGTATATCGCGCAAATGACACTTGAGGAAAGATTAAACCGTAAGCAAGGCATTATAAAGCAGCTGAATAACAGGAGATGCACGAAAAAGCTTTACGTAACCATAACAATTAGGATGCCCGAGCTGAGAGACGACAGAATAGGAAGGAAACAGCTTTCTGAGTCTAAGCGCAAAGACGGGCTGATTTCTCATGATATATTATGTCTAGCCAAGCCTCGAGACCACCCAACCACTTCAATCTGGTTGCCCAGGGGTTTGAAATCCCATGAATGTTGGCTTCGAAGCACCACGTTGTTTCTTGAGTTCTTCGGGAAGGTTCCTACTCCCCGGATAAAATTCTGTTCCTGGAACCGATACTCATTTAAATTATAGGGCTATTTGTGAGAATGGTAGCTTTTATCATAAATACGCTGCTTGTGACTAGGATCTTCCATTGCTTAGGTCAAGCTGGTGTGGAGCCTTACCGGGTTTTCTTTGTCTTTACTTCGAACAGGTCAGTGTCGAGAACGTCCAATGGCTTCTAACTAAGGTCTGAATTATTTCCATATATCGCGGCTTTGTTTTCACTGGCTATTGTAGATATACGAGAACTGTGATGCCACAATTCAGCCTGTTGACAGCAGTTTAAATAGAAAGCTGGAGGACACGGGCTCGAATTCAGTTAGAACAAAAATTCTTTGTAATCAGAGACCAGCATCACAGTCACCCTCCGTTTCAACAGAAGCATTTCCGCGTTTGGGATTGTGATTAATCTCTTCTTCAAGCTTGTTTGGTTACGGGATGGGTTAGGTGGATGACCGAGAGTAGGCGGCGTTGCAGGGCGGTTGCAAGTCTTCCAAGCAGTAAACATCAATACCGTATCCGCAGGCGTTTCTGATGATTCTGTCGTGTCCTACCCTCACGTCCATAAGGGTCGCTTTAACAATAAGTGTTCACACTTCATGATCGCATGCTATTGCAGTGAGCATACGAGAATATACCCTGCTACCGAAGTACGCTAACCCCTATGGAGCCTCCATTTCCAAGCCACACGATGCTGCATTTAGGTACGGTACCAAATTGACCGCGAGATTTAGCGAGGAATGAATACTTTTGCTCGTATGCTATGGGAATGGTTTCTTCGATTTTCTCCACTAAATATCACATTTGTGCGAACGCAAAATGTGCCAGATAACATACGAAATTTTAATGAATTACTTTTCTGATCTGTTTATTGACGGAAAAACTACTTCCAGCTGAATGATTCATGCTCAATTTGACACCGGATGGCATTTTCCCAGTTATTTCCACATGCTATCGTGGTTGAGGCCTAGTTGTGACACTTGTCGGGCGTTTGATATCGCATGAGCCCAAGCAGCCTGTTTCAATCATTTACTGGTAGCATTTTATTTTGAGATTTACTACTTATCAACCACGCTGGTAATTGCTAAAATAAATAATTGATTTGGCAGAAATTATACCAGCAACGATAGGGATTTCTTTTGAGCCGAGACAATATCGATAGTCCTGAAGTTCAAGGCCGTTACAGAGTTTGGCCACAGAATTTATCTTTACTTGAAGACAAATCTAGTCCCCACCAATATGTGCGACTACCGCGACACTCTCCAGTCCCACGAGTTAGAACTTGGAAGAGTGCTAGGGATGAGGCAGCGCGGTCACGGACATTTCTAATAGACATAGTACCTTCCGGCAGCAAAACGACATCCGGTACCTCACGGCTATGGAAGCAATGTCACCGTCGACCTCTCGAATTTCAGCGCTGTACCCATTTCTTTCAGTGGCTCGGCCGTTGCTCAGTATACCAGAGACCATTGAAACAGAAGATGTCACCACGAAATCGAACTTCTCATAGACTATTAGGAACATTGGAAAACTGCTATTGCGCATTCTTCACTCCATTATCCTCAGTTTCTACCTGTCCGGAACTCGGAAACTTTGTCTGCATGTTTTGTGGGAAAAGTCAAGCTTCGGAACCACATCAACCAAGATCAACATATTGATGTTGAGAGACAACAGATTGACATTTCCCAGTCTACTAAGGGGGCTTGGTGGATTGAAATAATAGCTGTAACCAGAGTGGTACGGAATCCGTTCTTGTACTTCCAATTTATGGTTGTTAGCATGAGCCATGCTTCCAGTCAATAAAAGGAGCTGGCCCACCACCATCTCCCGTCGTACAGCCCTTGAACGTGATAATAGCAGATTCGACTCGCCCATTTTCCTGATCGATCAAATTAATTTTAATGTCGGGCCGGCGAGGAGTAAGCGGGCCTCGCCACTACTCCGACCGGCGGGGTACACTATGGAGAAGGAGGCCCAGGGCTCGGAGTGGATGGGCGAGGAAAAGGAGGTCCCGGTTGCCCTCCTCGGCCACTGAAGAGGTGGCTCGCCGAAGCAGCGCAGCATGATTATCAGCGCCGCGCTATCGCTGAGGAACCGGAGGGCCCTTTGATGCGGATACCACAAAGTGGCATTCCGGACTGGACCGACTGGAGGCGACTACCCCGTGCCAGAATAGGTCCGGCAAAATAGGATTAGCAGCCTTCTTATTCAAGATAGGGGCTTTTGGCGTGTACTCGCCGCTATGCCTCTGCAGTAACGTCCCGAAGACGGCAGAGCACGTAATCCTCTTTTACGGATTGTTGGAAGGACCGAGGGAACGGCTACGGCTCACTGTCACACCGCGGCTGCTATACTCTCGCAAAGACTTCGTAACAGCAACAGGAAAACCAGTAGTTAGTGGGACTATTGTAAGGTGGCTTCTAGGGACGGGTTGGACAGATTTAGGGCCTCGATAGCATCGATCTTCTCAGGGGGACTTTTCGTGGGTTGGGAACCAACGCAGCATAGCAGTGAACGCAACGCAGTAGGTACAAGGGCGAACCGACCAAGCAGCGTATATATTTTTACCAGCCATTAGGGTACGGTTTAACATACTTGAGTACTAGTAGAGGTACCCAGGGCCTCGAGCCTACGGCGTATTTAATGATAATAATAATATTAACGTTTTCGATATGCATGGGTGTTTCACTGTCCCAGGAAGTGATAACTCGGTTTACACAACCATTGAAAATAGCCCAAATCCAAGTGGGTGCACGATATTGCACCGAACGGCGACATCCAGAATCATCCGCTTTCCATCCATCCCAAACTCAACGGGAGATTCCTTTGAAAGTGTCCAGCGTAGTCCTCTTCGCCTAAATTCCGGGATGATTGTTCGTCTATGGCGGCAAATGCAATCAGCTTGTCTTTTGATGGATAGGACAGGGCAAGAGTAGAATTCTGCGTGACAAGGGGCTATAGTTCCAAGGTGTTGCCGTCATATACTGTACGGGGGATGAACGTTAGGAAACAAGTTACATTTCTAGTGAAGGTCTGGAACTGGAACGGGTGGTACATCCTCTGAAGATGTTTCATATACTCGCTGACAGTTGGATCGTGTCCACATGACCACCCAATTTGGTCGTGGCAGAACATGAGCCTCCTGGGAGAGCAATCGCTCTTGGAAGAACCAATCACGGCCCCCTAGAGGCTGTCCTCTTCATGAGCCGGAGGTATCCGCAAGTGTATTAATGGCAAACATCGTTCTAAATCGTTTAGCTGGGGTTTTTGGTTTGCCCGAGGATGTGTGGGGGACGGAGGGGGGAAAGGAGATCGTCCACGCGACTCCAGTCTCCAATTTAGCAATACTGAATGAAGTTGGTGTTTCATGAAACAAAAGCTACAGCGTGGGGTTATCGGCATGCTCAAACGAATATATTGAGTACGCAGTTAAGATAGAGAACTTGCATTTCTGTTGAGTGCATCAGCTAGTCGCCCGTAAAGCTGTCGCTAGATTGAAGAATATATAACGTTAAGCTATTGATTTATATGTAATATATACCAAGCTGTCGACAAACTCGGATTCAAGGTTCAGACTAACCTCACTAACCTCACTATCCCCCTTTGGTTGGTTAGTGATCAGATTAGTAAGGAAGTCGCTGTGGTAGGATTTACTGCTAAGAGATGAAGCCAACGCTAACCTCGCCGGCACGGTCACCCAGGAATATGCTAGCGGAGTTGGCTATAGCCTCCTCTATGCCTCGTCCGATTCATCCAGCTAGTTATTTTCCATATCTACCCGGAGTGGGTTCAGGAGTGGGTACGCAGCTTCGTGGAGGATAGGACGGTACGCCTCCGGTTCGATGGCAAGGAGTCAGAGCCAATCCCCCTACGAGCTGGCGTCCCCCAGGGGTCACCGCTATCCCCGATACTGTTTATATTATACATTTCAACGCTGTACGAGGAGCTAGCGGAGCAGCACCCACTACTTTTAGTAGTCGGGTTCGCGGACGACACGAACCTGCTAAGCGTCGGCACCGATCCAGACACGACCTGCCGCCGGTTGGAGGGCGCATGGGCTACGTGTCAGCGGTGGGCAGTGAGGCACGGGATGGAGTTCGCCCCTGACAAGAGTGAGCTAATGCACTTTACTAGGGCCCGAGAGCCCTTGCCGCAAAGTATTCGCCTTGGGGACGCCACAGTGTCGCCGGTAGTCTCAGCGAGGTTCCTAGGAGTCTGGTTCGACCGCAAACTGACGTGGCACGCCCATGTTGAGCGTGTTAAAACAAAAATGGCAACTCAAAAGCTAGCCCTGACAAAGCTAGTCAATATGTCGTGGGGCTGCGATCTTATACGAGCGAGGCTGTTATATACGGTGGTTATCCGTAGCGCGATCGCCTTCGGGGCGACTGCGTGGCATACTATAAGTGAGGAACCGGCAGGGCCAGCTAAGAGCCTGATGGGGATACAGAACGAGTGCCTCCGGGTAGTCTGTGGCGCCCACAAAGCGACGTCGGTTCGCCACCTGGAAGCAGAAGCAGCAATCCCGCCACTAGACCTCTATCTTAGTGCCCGGGCTGCTAAGTTTGAAGAACGGCTACGGCTTAGCGGGAAGAGAAATCTACTTCGCAGCGCGAGCGCTAAAGCGTCACATATACTCCGGCAGGATAGGCCGGCGAAGAGGAAGCAGACGTCGCAGCTACTCCGACCGGCAGGGTACACTATGGAGAAGGAGGCCCGGGGCTCCGAGTGGATGAGTGAGGAGAAGGAGGTCCCGGCTGCCCTCCTCGGCCACTGGAGGAAGAGATGGCTCACCGGAGCAGAGCATCACGATCGCCAGCGACGCGCTATCGCTGAGGAACCGGAGGGCCCTTCGATGCAGATATCGAAAGGAGGCAAGTATTTCGGCCTCAACCGACTGGAGGCGTCCACGCTGTGCCAGATCAGGACGGAAAAAATAGGACTAGCAGCCTTCTTATTCAAGACAGGGGCTTTTGGCGTGTACTCGCCGCTATGCCGCTGTGGCGACGCCCCTGAGACGGCAGAACACGTAATCCTCTTTTGCGGGCTGTTGGAAGGACCGAGGGAACGATTACGGGCCGCTATCGCACCAGGGCCACTATACTCTCGCAGAGACCTCGCAACGGCAACAGGAGAACCAGTAGTCAGTGGGACTATTGTAAGGTGGCTGCTAGGGACGGGTCGGACAGCTTCAAGGCCCAGATAGCATCGATCTTCTCAGGGGGACTTCGTTGGTAGGTTGAGAACCAACGTAGTATGGTAGTGAACGCAACGCAGTCGCCAATAGGGCGAACCGACGACGCAGCGTATGTATTTAGTCCAGCAATTAGGGCACGGTTTAACATACGGGAGTACTGGTAGAGGGGGTGCCGGAGCAGCCTTAGCCGAGGCCTAGCGAGATAGAGATACTACCGGAGTCGGCGTTATATGGGCAATTAGACCCTCTAAAGTATGAAGGCAGCGGCTTAAGCGTTAGAGGATGTGACAGGCTGTGCCTGAAATGGGATCCGGAGCTGCAAGAACCTTGCGTCCGGATCCAACAAAGGAACCATCGAGGGCATATAAAAACATAGTTTGTGTTCTCGGAAAACTCGCTTATTTTACTTTCCTCCTCAGTTAGATAATTAACAGTATTTGGCCATGTTGAGCTGTATAGTTTCGCAGTGAGCCCGTCACAGAGGAATTCCAAGATAACAGCCAAGTTTCAAAGTGCTAGATATTTTCCAGAGATTCGTGAGCTAATAAGTCTTATAGGGGGTCTTACAAGGCTAGTAGGGACCTTAGCACCTTCAGTTACCCAAAACTACGGCTATTAGGGACCGCTAGCACGGTCAAAATAGCTATTTAAGCCTTAGCAATCATACCCCAACTAGGTTGCCCAACCAGGGCCTCCGGTGAGGTTACCATTAGCAACCAAAGTCTGGAGAATAGTGAGGGTATTAGTGTAAATACACGCCAACCCTAGCTCACCAGGTTAGCACGTTGAGGTTATTACGACCCTCGCTCGGATTGCATCATGGACATCATGGAACCTTCGCGGTAGCTCAGCAAGGTGAATTTCCCTCTGAAACGCGGCTGACCTGTCAATGGAGAACATTAAGGATGGTAGCGTTCCCCAGCAATGACTCAAAGATGCATAGGCTTAGCCATGGGCTTCATCCACCCCGAAGCACCAGTGGGGTGTCATAGTTTTCAACGTGAATAAGACGTTGGGAGCACCAATTGTTGTCTGTTAGTCTGCATGAAAAACCTGAAGACTCATTCATAGTCGTCCTTACAACTTTCAAGCCACCTTCTGGCGGTTTCGTGGACGGTCGAGTGACCAGTTTTGCTGGGCAATTCCCGCAACAGAAAAGAAGTCTCGTCAGAATCGAGATCAGTCATCAAAAGTTGCACAAATCGAGAATATATTTCCGGTGTAGCAGTATCGTAGCGGTGTCGGTGACCTCGAAGGTGACTTCGTCTCCATCCATAGGGAGACCGTCTCCGTGATCTACCTCTCTCAAACCATTATGCCTAGCTTTCCTTCAAACGCCACCCAACCACCATTTCGGCTGACTCTTTCATTTGCCCCAATCTGAAAGGTCAGGTAGAAGGATAGGTGCGTGACAGTACCACCCCTGAATTTCCAATTCGCCGGTACTCTATTGTTCAGGTGATAACATATCTTGAATACTTGTTTGGCGGCCTCGCTTAGGTCCTCGAGGCTGGGATGATATCAACAGTTTTCCCTTCCGCAGTTCATTGTTCAAACTTGAAACATTGACACACAATTTCCGCAAAGTATGTCGAGGCCACTAGAAGAAGATAGGCGTCGCAAGCTGTTGACGAAGGTTAAGCAATCAGGGTGGGATATTCAGTGGAACATGAATGTGTAGATGGATCGCGCATGTAGGCGACAATATCTTATATCATCGTGAAGTACGACGAAGCAGAGAAAGAGAATACGATGCCCATGAGTCATAACCTTGCAAACAGGGGTCATGATGAGTGCTTGTTCAACGTTGCGGTGCAATCTGAATTGCCCTGGCGGCTATTGACTGCTAGAAAATCGTGGCCTTGTCATTTTGACTTGTTCATCATGTAACTCGCCGCTACTGATGATCAATCTACATGATACTTGAATAGGGACTAATAAGCACCCTTCTACCTACCCACAGTATCCAGTATATTGATGTATACAGGTGTTGCACCCCGCAGGAGCGCGCACAGTGGATTGACGTTCCACGGTTTTCCACCCGGAGAACACTATCCCGTATTTAGCCTAGTGCAGCTACCTCGGCTTTGGAATTGATTCCATGGAAGCTTCAGCCGAAATTTTTGAAGCTTTCCCCCAGATTCGATGTTGAATTCGACGTTTTTCTCCTCCCAAACCACACCAACCCTCCTCTCCGTTTCCATTACTGCCATTCAATTCCTCTTTGGTCTCGGTCCCGGAGTCTCTCAGTCCTCATAATCAGCCCATTATGCAGCGTGCTCTGTCATCCCGAGCAAGGGCCTCGGTCCTCTCGTCTGCTGCTGCTTCTAAGTTTAGGCCTGGTGCAGGTCTTTCGCAACAGCTTCGATTTGCGCACAAGGTATTTCAGGCCGCTGCAGATCACTTCATAGGTACCATTGACGCACAAGGACTTGTTTACTGACAGGCTTACTCCAGGAATTGAAGTTCGGTGTCGAAGCGCGCGCCTCGCTATTGGCCGGCGTTGAGACTTTGGCCAAAGCTGTTGCCACAACACTCGGCCCCAAAGGACGAAATGTCCTCATTGAGTCAAGTTATGGCTCACCTAAGATTACAAAGGGTATGTGTTCGAAACTAGGCGTCTCCGAGCCGTGCTGCGGAATAGCTGACTCGATCTAGACGGTGTCACGGTTGCACGAGCAATCAGCTTACAGGACAAGTTTGAAAACCTCGGTGCCAAGTTGTTACAAGACGTTGCATCGAAAACGAACGAATCTGCCGGTGATGGCACCACCAGTGCTACAGTCCTCGCACGAGCTATCTTCTCAGAGACCGTTAAGAATGTGGCTGCAGGATGCAATCCCATGGACTTGCGCCGCGGCACTCAAGCGGCCGTCGAGGCTGTGGTCGAGTATCTACAGAAGAACAAGAGAGTCATCACGACCAGCGCTGAGATTGCCCAGGTTGCTACCATCAGTGCCAATGGCGATACTCACATCGGTAAGCTGATCGCCAACGCCATGGAGAAGGTCGGCAAGGAGGGTGTCATTACAGTTAAGGAGGGCAAGACCATGAGTGATGAGTTAGAGGTTACTGAGGGCATGCGCTTCGACCGTGGCTTTGTGTCACCATACTTCATCACAGACGCCAAGTCGCAAAAGGTCGAGTTTGAAAAGCCCTTGATTCTCCTGTCCGAGAAGAAGATCTCTGCCGTCCAAGACATCATTCCAGCTCTCGAGGCCTCTACCCAACTGCGACGGCCTCTGGTCATCATTGCTGAGGATATTGACGGCGAGGCTCTGGCGGTCTGCATTCTGAACAAGCTCCGCGGACAGCTGCAAGTTGCCGCTGTGAAGGCTCCCGGATTTGGTGACAACCGAAAGTCCATCCTCGGCGACATCGCTGTCCTTACAAACGGCACCGTTTTTACAGATGAGTTGGACATCAAGCTCGAGAAGGCCACTCCCGACATGCTTGGCACGACCGGCTCTATTACTATCACCAAGGAGGACACCATCATTCTTAACGGAGAGGGAAGCAAAGATTCTATTGCGCAGCGTTGTGAGCAGATCCGCGGTGTTATGAGCGACCCTACCACATCAGACTACGAGAAGGAAAAGCTCCAAGAGCGTCTGGCCAAGCTGTCTGGTGGTGTTGCCGTCATCAAAGTCGGTGGCTCCTCTGAAGTCGAGGTCGGCGAGAAGAAGGACCGCTTTGTGGATGCTCTGAACGCCACCCGTGCTGCTGTCGAGGAAGGTATCCTGCCTGGTGGTGGCACAGCTCTCCTCAAGGCGGCTAGCAACGCCCTCAAGGACATCAAGTCTGCCAACTTTGACCAACAGCTCGGTGTCAGCATCGTCAAGAACGCCATCACCCGCCCCGCAAGGACCATTGTTGAGAACGCCGGCCTTGAAGGCTCAGTTGTTGTGGGCAAGCTTATGGACGAGTTCGGCAACGACTTCCACAAGGGCTTCGACAGCGCTAAGGGCGAGTACGTGGACATGATCGAGGCCGGTATCCTTGACCCTCTCAAGGTTGTCCGCACCGGCCTTGTCGATGCGAGCGGTGTTGCCTCACTACTTGGCACAACCGAGGTGGCGATTGTTGAGGCTCCCGAGGAGAAGGGCCCTGCCCCTGGTGGCATGGGGGGTATGGGAGGTATGGGAGGTATGGGCGGCATGATGTAAAACAACGGTAAAGCCTGATTCTTAATTTCCTTGTACCAAAACTTTGGGCTAGGGGTATTCGGCTTCGGTGTTACGACGTACGGATACATATGTGGCCATGTAATCTCTCCTCTCTGCTCTCCCGTACACATGTACCTCGTTGTTGTTTTGATATCCCGAGAGGCGTTGCAAGAGTTGTATAATAGTCTAGAGCCACAAAATCACGCAATAGATTCTCTATGTCGATATGATTTTGACACAATCATACGTCTTGCACCTTCAGGCATGAAGAAACCCTTGACTGCCTAACATTGTACTTTTACCTTGTCCGCTTGTCCGCGTGCTCATCAACCAATTAGTCCCGCGGCGGTGATTTGAGACACGGCCGTGCTTCCTCAGGTAGGTGGGAAATTCTTTGATGCCTAGCAAGGTCATTAGAAATTGCCACGTCCCGTCTTTTCGAAGGCGAAGGCTGCAGCAATGAGGGCCATTGCCGATTGGTGAAAATTACTTGAGTACTTGGACGATGCAGCAACTCGGAATCAATTTGCAGCACTAGAGGTTGCGCAAGCCAATCACGTGCCCGGGCATGATCTCACCAGCAACCCGCGCCTGCCAAGTGGGTAAAAATCATAGCAACCCCACCAAGGCTCCTTCCTGTGTTGTGTTGATTGACCCTCTTCAGCCCGACCTTCGTTCCTTCCCCTCCATTTGAGAAACACTCCGCCCATCTCTCTTGTGCGCAATAATTCAACTCTTGCAAATCAGCCTTCCCCTTTTCCGACTCTCAACCCCAGAGCTGGAAGCCCATAGAGACGCATCTTCGTCATTGTTAGTCTCCTGCCCAAATCGCACTTACCACACCACCCCACATCCTCAAAATCGTCGCCTCTTACTCCCTGCTACCAGCTCTGCTGACCGCTTGCCATCGCAGCTCATACCCAAATTGTTTGCTTCTGCAATCTAGCATTTACCACCACAATGGTGAGAATCGAGCCCGGAAACGCATGAGGAAGCTCTACTGATAGTCATTTCTGAACACAGTCTCAATCAGGGTTCGTGCCTCTCTCTTACCGTACTCGAAGCCTCGCTGTCTCGGTTCTTGCATCGCGATCCGCATACCCCATACTCGCCCGAAGAAGACCATTTACTTGCATGTCGTGATGAGTCGACGGGGATTTCTGCTGACCTGTGCCTATTTACAGTGTGGCCGCATCGCAAGAGTGCATCACGGCTTTCAACGACCTGAAGCTTGCCAAGAAGTACAAGTACGTCATCTTCAAGCTGTCGGACGACAACCGCGAGATCGTCGTCGAAGACGCTGCTGGCGGAGTTGATCCTTCCGGCGAAGATGCGACGACTCGGTTCGAAGAGAGAAGAAAGGATTGGGATGAAGGCTTTGCGGCAAAGCTTATGAACGCCAAGACCAAGACTGTACGTGCAGATGGGACCGAACGTTTGTGGCCGTACACATACTCATATGCCGTTGCCAGGGAGCCGCCGACTGTCGCTACGCTGTGTATGACCTTCAGTACGATCTCGCATCCGGCGAGGGCGTCCGGTTAGTGGACCTGTACCCGCATAATTGAAGGATCCTAATGGTGCGCAGAAACAAGATTGCCTTCATCACATGGTCACCGGATACTGCATCTGTCAGAGTGCGCTCCCCCTCTCTCTACCCCCTTTCAACATATCCGCGGCAAATCCTCTATTAACACCACCATATAGACCAAGATGACCTACTCCTCGTCGAAGACTGCTTTAGAGCGTGCTCTCACTGGCATCGCAGAGAATCACCATGCGTCTGACAGTAGCGAAATTGAATTCGCTTATGTAGTGAACAAGGTTAGCAGAAACAAGGGCTTGGTAGTGTAAAACATCCTGCACCAAGAACCTGGGAATAGTTCTGCAACGGAGGCATGCCAACGTTCATGAAGCTTCGACGGTCGATGGCTTGAGCCCCTTACTGTTCACCTAGGACAGTACGGGGGCAACCTAGACCTGACGGATGAGACGCAATTCCAAATATGATGATAGTCGAGGTCTACACACTACACAGGACAGTGACGACGGGGTGGATCGCGAGCATTCTTGTTACGTCGGTTTGAGAATAAACCCTTGTCTATTCCAATAATGATCATTTTACGACTAGCGTTGACACGATAGACCTCGTGACTTACCGGTTATAAATCTGATACTGTTTTTAGTGGAGGAACTCTCACGAATTCGCCTTCCACGCCTCCTGGAAGGTGCGAAATAGTTCTCCGGTCTGCTTTTCGTCCCGTATCCTCTGCGACAAAAATCCTTTCAAATCATCCCAAAACTCGGCCGACTCAATTGTTTCCTGTCCGCTTTGACCCTGGGCAACATCGGTCTGGACGTCTGCCTCTGCGTCGAGTTTCTTCGCAGTCGCCGCCGCCCCTCCTAGGATCATGACAGAGAATTCTACGCTCGTCTCGCCCTCGGCCACAAGGTCCTTGAGTACTTTGCTGTCGACCACAGGCTTCTTCTTGTACAGCATCTTGATCTTGTCCACCGGTATGCTCGTCTGCTCTGCGACGACGTTCTTGACATCTAGGATGGACGTGTTAAGGGTCTGCGAGGACAGCTTGATGTCGAGGGGCGGGTTGCGGAGCGACTTGATGGCGACGGTGAGGGAACGTTCGGAGCCAGGAGCCGTGGGAACGGCCTTCCTCTTACTCATTTGGCGAGACATCTTAGGGAGGATATACTGTGTTGCTGTTAAACGAATGTCTATAGGATGTCGGGAGGTGCACCACATACGGCGCTCCGCGGCGGATAGCTCTTGGGATCCTCGACATGATCGGCTGATAGCTTGATAGGTCGTGCATCAAGCGCCGAGAGAAAGGTTTTGGCAAATGCTACTTCGGTCATGATAGCGAGATCTGTGGTGCTGTAGATAGGGTATGGGTAGGAAGAGTAGAGGGTTTGCTGGTTTGTGTCTCTGTTGTTCGGCATTGAGCGTTCAAGCGTCACGTCAATCCCTCAAATCCAAGTGGTGCCTGATGCCGGAAGTCTCAAACTGTCGATGTTGTTTGTCGTCACCGTTTTGATGCGCCACGATTTGTCCCGCTTTGTGGCTGGAGCTCAAGCTGCCGCGTTCAATCGAAGCAGGCATTGAAGCGCTAACGTTATCTTATCGCCCTGGCAGCAAAAAAAGTTCCCATTTGACTTGGGAAGGTGGGAGCGACTTGATTTCTCGACGGACATCGTAATATAACAGAACGTATCGCCCATACGTTCCTTGATCTAACTGCCAGTCAAAATGGGTGTCGGACGCCGTATGAAGAAACAGGGAGCACCTGAGCCCCTGTCCGAGGAGCATTTCGCCAGACTTAAGCGCAAAGCGGGTCTTCCAGTCGACGACACACCTAGGGATGCGCCCAGCAAGAAAAAGAGACGAACGTCGCAGGACGCTGGCCCAAAGAGCAATGTAGCTGCAGCGCAGAAACCCAAAAATTCTAATGGCAAGGGCAAAGGGGCAAATTCCACGCCGCTTGCAAAGCCGAACGGCAAAGCCTTGAAGTCGAAGGGCAAAGTCACAGCCCAAGAGCCGGAACTCGATGAGGATGTTAGCGATGGGCTTGGAGATTTTGATCTCGAGGACGACGAATTCCCCGATCTAGAAATGGACGGTGCCCAAGGCCTTGAAGATGATTTCCTAAACTCCGACAACTCGGTGTACGACTCGGACGACGGAGGCGACAAGAGGGCCATGTTCTCGGAAGATGAAGACGACTCGGATGCCGAAGACAAACTCACAGCGGCCAACATCGCAGGTTTATCGAGGAAACTCGATATGAAAAAAGCCGAGGAAGATGCAGAAGCTCAAGCAGAACTCGAGGAGGCGGCGTTGCAGACCAACATCGACGGCGACAAGCCCAATGTCTTCGACAATGAGGAGGAGGATGGTCTAGCTGCCAAGACCAAAGCCCTGCTGGCTCCCGATTTGCAATTGCTGCGGAACAGAATCACGGACACGATACGTGTACTAGGCGACTTCGCAAAGCTGGCTGAGACGGGCAAATCGAGGGCCGAGTACATCTCAAAGCTACTCAAGGACATCTGTGCATATTATGGCTACAACGAATACCTGTGTGACAAACTGTTCCATTTGTTTTCACCAGACGAAGCCTTTGCTTTCTTCGAAGCCAACGAAACGGCAAGACCTGTCGTCATCCGAACGAACACACTTAGGACACATCGTCGAGAGCTGGCCCAAGCCCTCATCAACCGCGGTGTCGTTTTGGAACCCGTGGGTAAATGGTCCAAGGTTGGACTGCAGATCTTTGAAAGTAACGTGCCTCTCGGAGCTACTCCAGAGTACCTCGCCGGTAAGCCACAAGCTCCTTCCTATCGCAGTTCTACTTTTGTCTTGGAAGTCGTGAACTTTTCGAAGAGTAGTCTCTCCCAAGATAGGACTTGAACCCCCAGACAGGCTCTAGGTGACAACTACTGACACTGAAGTGCATTAGGACATTACATTCTTCAAGCAGCCTCCTCCTTCCTACCCGTTATGGCTCTCGCTCCCCAAGAAAACGAACGGGTTCTTGACAGTAAGTGACTTCGAAACTGGAAACCCAACCCAACCCCCAAATTTTCATCAAATGAATAAGTTGCACGTACTAATCTACCTCCCTTGTTACAGTGGCTGCGGCTCCCGGCGGCAAGACCACGCATATTTCCGCTTTGATGAAGAATACTGGCGTGGTGTTCGCCAACGATCCAAGTAAAGCCCGTTCAAAGGGTCTCATAGGAAATATACATCGTACGTCTCTCCATTTCTACTCGTTGGTAGTCACTCCTGAGAACACCGCTGCAAAGTTTTCAACGATGAGTTTTGACGCTGAAACCGCTCTTTCTGCTCGGCGGTACCAAACCATACTTGCTAACGTTTCTTGTTGCAGGTCTTGGCGCTCGCAATGTTGTAGTCTGCAACTACGATGCGAGAGAATTTCCTCGCGTGCTTGGTGGATTTGACCGAGTACTTCTTGATGCGCCTTGCTCGGGGACAGGTTAGTGTTTCCTCAGCCTGGGTTTTATTTATTGCTTAGCCTAACACGCTACAGGTGTCATCGCAAAAGACCCAAGTGTGAAGACCAACAAGAGTGAAAAGGACTTGTAAGCAGATTTCATATGTCTCCAACATCCTTTTCGTTCTGTCTCGGCAAATTCCTACTCTCGAGACTCAATTTCCCCAGTTCCTAGCCACATGGCCCAAATAGGAGTCACTAACCCTCGTCAAGCATGACTTTACCTCACACGCAGAAACAACTTCTCCTTGCCGCAATAGACTCGGTTAATCACGCTTCGAAGACCGGTGGCTATATCGTATACTCGACATGCTCAGTCACGGTGGAGGAAAATGAGCAGGTCGTGCATTACGCACTCACCCGACGGCCTAATGTGAAGCTCGTTTCTACTGGCTTGACTTTTGGGAAGGAGGGTTTCACTCAATTCCGCGGCAAGCAGTTCGACCAGTCCCTTAGCCTGACACGCCGTTTTTACCCCCACACCACGAACATGGACGGCTTCTTTGTTGCCAAGTTCCAAAAGGTCGGTCCGTCCCCCACTGGAGTGGCGGCCAAGGACAAGACTACATCTGAAAATGTGGAACGCGAGGAGGTTATTGACAAGACACCTATCGCCGCTGATGAAAATATGGGTGGCGTGGAGCAGAATGACTTCGGGGGCTTTGATGAAGGCGAGGATCAGGAGTACATCAACAAGGCGAAGAGGAACGCAATGAGGAGGCGAGGATTGGACCCTCATGCATTGGATAAGACAAAGGCCACCAAGGTCGAAGCGGCGGATAAGAAGCCTGATGAAGTGCAGAGTGACGAGCCAGCAAAATCCAAGAAGGTGGCCAAGAAGGAGAAGAAGGTCGAAGTTGTGGAGAGCAAGCCTGCTGAGGTACAGAAGGATGCTCCAGCAAAGTCTCCCAAGGGGGGCAAGAAGGAGAAGAAGGTCGAAAATGTGGAGAGCAAAGGCAGTGTTATCAAGAAGGCTGAACCAGTAAATCTTGCGAAACGTGGCAAGGAGAAGAAGGGCACCAGGGTGTAGCGACTACACTGCACGGTAAGATCTGTGACATTCGCATGTTCGTTCCAGAGCACTAGCGCTAGAAGTTATTTTACATAATAGTGTTTATCATCGCAGCTTCATTTGCATGCTTAATGTTCTTCCAAACGGAGAAAGCCAATGTTGGGTCATATATGCCTGAACTGCGCAAACTATCAAGTTTAGAAGAAGCTGCCCATGACGCTTTTTTGCCTTTAGGGACGAAGCAAAAGCTGACGAGGCGAACATAGTGATTCCAGGGTTCATTGTGGTACGCAGCAGCATTGGTTCAGCGACTTAACATATAAGTTCGAGGACCAAAAGTCTCGCCCGAGTTGTGGTGCTACACTGCTATCTCTCCCTCGCACCTTGCATTAAGAAAGTAGAGCTTCGCTCATACCTTCCGAAGCCCATATCGCGCAACTCTTCTCGCATCGGCACGAATGATTCAACTCTACAAACCCAAAATAGCGCCATGATCTCGTTCCCCACAGCCTCGAAGGGGTCAAGTTTGGCAGACTCGCACCTGAACTCTTGAATACGGTTCTTGCACTTTTCCTCTCCCAGAATCTGTTCCACCGCTGTCCTCGCCGTCTTCGGTCTGGGCTGTTGCGGCAATAAAACCCCCAGGCCAGAACATTCCACCCTCCTCCCAAAGTCGGGCTTGTCAAATCGATTCCCCGTCTGGACCATGGGAACGCCGTTAGCGATAGCGTGCGTCAAGCCCCAATATCTGCTGTTGGACAAAAATAAATCTACATGTTCCAGCACCGCATCATAGAAATAATCAAGAACTCGGGCGTAGAACGCCTCCAGGAAGGTTGCTTGTATCGAGAATGTCCCAGAGACGCACAATTTTGCGATTGCAAGTTCATCGTCTCGGTCTGCAAGACATTTTATGGTTGGGACGATGAGTTCGTCATAGTCGAGGACTTCGGGGCCTTGGGCTACGAAGATGACTACTTTTCAGGCAGCCCCTGGAATAACACTTGCGCTATGCTGCAGCACTTTGTCGAACCAATCTGAGTAGGCGAGATTGGACGGCGATGGCTTCACTGGAAGGGCACTAGTGAATATGAAGTTGGGTGGCCAGGTAGATGCCGGAAATTCCAGATCCGGCAATCCCATCTGCAACGCAGCGTCATGGCAAACGGTCGAAGCCTCTGAAAACAGCGAGTTCAACCCATCCGTCCTAAACGCCTCATAGAGCGAGTCAACGGACCTGGTGAAAGCCAATATACAGTACGCTTCTTGCCCGATCCTTAGCATCCTTATTCCAAGCGTTGCCATATGCTTGCAAAACCCTCTTCTTCCCAGCCTCATCATCATCAAGCGGCAACCCCGGTCCCCACGGCGGCCTCTCAGGAATAGCTCAGTGCACAGGGTACAGCGCCTATCCCCAGCGTCCTAATTTCATGCTCCGTCTCAACCCCAGACGGCAAATGATTCCCTTACTTAAGCGCTAAGGTCCCGGAGAAGCACATATCCGTCGGCAGCACGATCCGCTTCCCCGGCTCGCGCCGCCGCACGCCGCCGATGCGAAGCGTTTCGATTCCAGACCACTGGGTAATAGACTACAAATGCTTCATCGAGAGGCGCGGCGAGGTCAGGCGCATTCACAATGGTTGGTCACCGGCACGTGTCATCGAGACTGGACCAGAAACCGGTGATGGGGCCGAATTGGTCCCCAATGGCTTCGAGGCGGAATTCCATTTGACTGTGCCCAAAATTGTGACGCTGAAGCTGAGGGAGACGAGATAAGTGCTAATTTGCAGGGCGGGCCTTGTGTGGCTTTCCCGTGAAGCGATAATGTCGAAGATGGGACGGCGAGACGGCGGGTTTGCTGGACACAGCTGGATTTTATTGAGGTTGACTAAAATGGGTGTCGTCAGGGTTGACGGAGGTGGGCGAGGTCTTACATGTCGTTCAATGGGGATGGCCTCTCCTCTTCGAGTGCCCTGGGTCGTCTGCTTGATTATCCGTGCACCGCTTCGATGCCGCTGGATTGGGTGCTTGTTTCAACTTGTCATGACCAATGGTGTGATGAAATGGCAGATGGCTTTCAGTTATTTCCAGAGGCCGATGACGCTTGGTGCTCGGGAGACTGACTCGTGTAGTGGACAAGGTTCCGGGAAACGGGCTCGCAATGTTTAGAGAAACTCCAAGTCGCTCTAGACATGTGGAGGATCATATAAGACGAAACTTGTGAGAATATGGAGCCATGTGGACTATCCTTTCCATTCCCCACAACTGGATATTTATGTCTGACAGATATATCAAACCTCCAATCGCGGTGACAGGGCGGTGACAGAATTTCCAGAACTTCTGAAGAACTGAACTGTCATGACCTGGACAAAAAGCTATTTATTTATTCGGTATAGGGAGCGCCATGGACGAGATATGACCTTTCACCATACGTTGTATAGTTCGGTGCTTATAGACATACTCATCACAACAAGCCGCTGTGCTAGAAAGTCACAGAATCCGTCATCGCCCGCCACTGCTAGATGACAGCAAAACCTAGTCTCAAATGCTTGAAATGGAGCTCGGATCTGGCTCAAGACATTCTTCGTTTGCTAAATCTAGCAACTAGCACATCATGTTCTGGGCAAAATGTGCTCGTTTACTATTCCGCGGAGCAATCCCGTCCCGCCGCATGCTCTTGGGAGTCTAATATGCTTCAGGCGACCCCATCATGATTGCTTGGCCAATTTCCCATAACGGTACAACCCCACATATACACTGAAGACAAATTGGAAGGGATGCATGCGATGCTGTGCTCAATGGGAGTAGCCGAGTTGGTCTTGGATACAAATGTCTACTTAAACTATGGAGCTGCTTCCATCTTATGAATCTCTATCGATTTTCCTATTTCAAGCTCAAGTAGATTTGCGATGTGGGCACAAGTGTTGATGACTTTGGCGTTTGCCATGCCCAACATCGTCGCTGCTAGTGGGACCAATTGTAGTGGAACATATGCGCGAACGATTCCTCCACAAGGTTCTCTAGTTGTCGATGCCACGGACGAATATCCCGAAAGCTTCTCCAGCGTCAGTGCAGCCGTGGCCAACCTGAATAATGCCACTACAGACCAACAGACAATCTTTATCCTGCCGGGAGTATATTCAGAGCAGGTCTACATCCCCTTCCTAGACGGCCCTCTCATAATCCAAGGCTACACCTGCGATACACGCTCCTACGCCAGCAACTTCGCCACCCTAACCGGCAACCTCTCCCGGCAAACCCCCAACATAACCAACAACGACGGGACCGCCACCCTGCGCCTGTGGTCCGCAAACGTCAAAGTCTACAACCTAAACATAGCCAATACCTTCGGTGAAGCCCTCTCCAACGGTCAGGCCCTAGCCCTTAGCGCGCAGGCAACCAACCAGGGGTTTTATGGGTGCAACTTCACCGGCTACCAAGACACCATCTACGCTAACGAGGGGCGACAAATCTACGCCAAATCGTACATTAACGGCGCGATAGATTTCATTTTTGGCCAACGAGCGGCCGCTTGGTTCGAGGGGTGTGATATCGAAACTATAGGCAACGGATACATCACGGCTAATGGAAGGGAGGCGGAGAACAATACGAGTTTTTATGTGTTTAACAGCTGCGCAGTAAATGGGACGAGCGGGGTGAACTCGACGTATTTGGGAAGGCCGTGGAGGCCGTATAGTCGAGTTGTGTTTCAGGAGAGCCATTTGGAGGATGTGGTCAGCCCTGAGGGTTGGGTTCGGTGGGATGATACGCAGAGTTTGGATAATGTCTATTATCGCGAGTTTGGGAACATGGGGCCGGGTGCTGCTGGGCCGAGGGCGAACTTTACTGCATCGTTGGATGAGCCGGTGAGGCTGGCGGAGGTTTTGGGCGATGGGTTTGAGAGCGAGTGGTGGGTTCACATGGATTATTTGTGAAGTAGAACAAGTGGTGGGAGCGGAAGATGCACGCACAGATCTGCAAAGTGATGGTTCGAATATACGTTTCGAGGAAATCCGTTGTAGATTCCTCATATCAGCTCATATCATTTTGTCGTCGTTCGTAGGTCAATAACAGACCAGACGTGGAAAGCCTCTTCCCTGTTAAGTCTCACTCCGAAGCAAGGCCATTTTCTGATGATGTGGGGGGTTGAAGAATAAGCGTGAAAGAAACAACTTGAGTTGTATGTAAGTCGTCTATAGGCCAGCTTACGAAAACTTGATGCAGCAGGTGGTTTTATCAAAGCATCACTAATATTTTGCATTTGAAAACATATTGTGGTACCAACGAGAAAGCTAGCTATAGATAATCCCATCATCAACAAGCTGAAAATTGCATATGTCGGCCAGTGACTTGAACCTATTACTCGTTATAGATGGTCTGTGTATAACCAGATCTGCCTTTGAGCCTATAGCACATGCGCCATCGTAAATCCTGTCGTCTAGTCGACAATTCACAACTTGGCTTAGTATCCAAGCGGCGACACTTTGAGAACTACCAGTGCCTTTGAGGTCCATTTAGTTTGGATGCCTGCTAGTTATATTTCACCTTCGTTTCCATAGCTCCTCATCGTAGTGGCGCTACTTATTAGCGTCGGCTGGTGTAGTTGGTCACTTCGCTGGTAGATAAGTCCCGATTTGAGCCTCGCCCACTTGGGTCGGTGACGAGTCGCGGGTTCGAATCCCGCAGCTGACACACAAGGGGGTTTAGTCAACCCTTACGGCGCGCTGCCCACCTTGTTGACTTCGCCTACCTAGCGATAATAGGGAGATTGGTGCAGTTTAGGATTACGAGCATCCTAGCCAGTCGACCGTCAAGCACTACGTCGGCGGAATATAACTCGACAGCCGGTCCAGAATTCGAATCGTTAATCCGACCCCTTATCGGACCCCCTCTCGCCGCGATTCTTGCGAGCGTCTAGACCACGTTACGGTCTATCCACTTGAGCGTATGGTTGAGATGTATACGCTCGACGAGAACCCCAATTAGCAGATACTACGACTTGTCGCGACAAAAAATAGTCGAGCATCTTCTGCACATCAGCAGCATCCCATCCCTGAGGACGAATTTAAGTGCCACATTACCACGCTTATCGGTAGTTCAGGCAGGGGTTGTAGCACAGACTTAGGGAGGGACAGGAGGTTTAGTAGTCGTTTGGCTACAAGTTTACCTGTATAACCGCCCGACGCGGCTTAAGGGCCCGCTATATCATCTATAGCCCCTTAAGGGAGTACTTGTAGAGGTACCGAGGGTTAACACCTACGGCGTATTTAATATTATATTATTTTATTTCACCTTGCTCTAATGACAGCTAGTACTGGTGATTGCGCAGAAAGAACTGAAATTGCCACTTCTATTGCATGTAATTTCTTCTTGTGTCTTGCAATATCTCTGGAGGCCTACATCACGATTGGAATGTTCTGGTATCCGGCTCGTATTATTGCTGTCATTGCTAAAGGCCGTTATACTAACAGGAATATCAGCACCTCCCCGGCATAGTTACCCCTCCACACGCTTGTATGTTGATTTAGGTTTTCACAGGGTCCAGGGTTCCGGCTTGCTAGTGTCGAATCCCAACCATCGGCTAGCATACGTGTCGGCCGAGTCTGTCGGTCCACTTGATCTCAAGGACGCTTAATATCCTTAACTCAGCTTGCTCCCGACGTTTCCATAGCTCCTCATCGTAGTGGCGCTACTTATTAGCACTATCAGACCACATCTCGCTGGAATTGCATCAGAGCGCGTGTCGCCAACATGTCGCCAACACACATACGTGTCCACTTAAATACCCCGTATGCTATTTTGCCACTTGCTACCTTCAGTTTCATAACCGACCGTGCCCAGCCTCACCGCCATGTCTATGAGCCACAGACTAGCAAGGGCTAACATATTCCAGAGCAGTCTCCGCCAGTGCCCGTGGTCGTCCGTTCTTTCAGCCAGCCCTTCTGAGCATATCGTATTCATTGAGGCAGTGACTGGAGCATTGCCTGGGAGGGCCAAGACCCAAGGCAGCCAAGGCGCTATACGTTCTTGCCGAACTTCCGCTCTTCTCCACTAAATAAACCGCCTGTGGCGTAGATATAGACGTAGGCTAGAGATATACTTCGAAGCACGAGCGGTTTAATGATGTCATCACGCGAATATTGGCAACTAACAATCCTATTAGATTCGCTATTGCACACATAGTGCTGAACCTTCGACAAACCATCTACTGCAAATCATGCATCTTTGCCTGGTGATTGGGGATGTGGAACTCGTTCGCTCGCTCTCGGACAGGTATGGCGGAAGTCAATATAGACCCACTTAGTCTGTATAGTCAGGGGCAGTGCTCTAAGACGTGTAACAATGTAGCAACAAGGGGGTAACGCGTCCATAGTGGCCAAAGGTATTTATACCATGAAGGTCTCCCACTTGCGATCAAAGTTTGCCACCCAGGTCCACACTTTTGCGATCTAAATTTCATCATCCAAAGGAACCAAACAATTATCTCTTTCACATTTTCCACCAGATACATCTTACAAGATGGATCACGGTTACGGCAATCATAATCCTCAGCACGATGGCCGACCTGGCGAGGCTGCGTCATACTACGGTGGCATGCCGGAAACGCAACACGGTTCTGATGGACCAGGAGGCTATGGCCAGCAGCACCGGGAAGGGTATGGTCGTAACTCGTCGTACCCAGGGGATGGCCAAGGCTTTGAAGGCGACGGTGAGCGCGGTCTCATGGGAGCTGCGGCTGGTGGTGCCGCTGGTGCCTTTGCTGGCCACCAAGCCGGACACGGCGTCCTTGGGGCGCTAGGCGGTGCTTTCGCCGGCCACAAGTTGGAAGACTTCGCCAAAGATCGTAGGGAAAGTAAGAAAGAGGAAGAGCAGCGAAAACACCAGATGCACTCCCCGCCTCCGCCTCCTCCTGCTTACAACTCGGGTGAACATCGCCAGCATGAACCCCACGGCAACCAGCAATCTCAAGATTCTCACAGCCAAAGCCGCTCCATGGGCGGCGGCGGCCTTGCCGGCAACTTCTCGGCTTCGTCGCACGACGTCCATCTTGAAGGTAATTTAATCCTTCGCGCCACGTGCCGACGCCCGGGCGGCGCGGATGAGCATAGCTCCATCGATCTCAATCGTGTCCTCGGAAACCAGGACGGCCATTTCCATTGGGTGAGCGGCTCGGGCACTACGAACTATCAAGTGAAGCAAGGTGATACGTTGCGGGACATTGCCCGTCAGTACCATTGCGGATTTGGAGATATTGCTAAGATTAACCACCTCGACAACCCGGACTTAATCTATCCTGGGCAGAATTTGCAGGTCCCGCGCCATGAGGGTGGGAACTTTGGCGCGTCTGCGAGGGATGTGCATTTGGTGGATGGGGGACGGGTTTTGGAGGCGGAGTTAAAAAATGTTAGAGGAGACTGGCATAGAAGTCGGGTTGATCTGAACGAGCGCATATCCAATAACAACGGCCATCTGTGCCTAGTTTGAAAGAACTCTGGTGTAAGCATCGAATCAGTCGTAAGAAGCTGAGTATAGTTTTGAAACCCCCATATTTAGCCAGCTCATCAAATTTGTTAACTTAAGTCCCTTTCTAATCTTTAGAAATCGAGTCCGTCAATGGTTGTGAAATACACTCTGCTCCGACAGGAAGTAACTAAAACTTGGAAAAGGATGAATTTACACTCTAAAACTCGCAGCATTCATTGTAAATATGGTTCGTTAGGTGAAAGTTTCTTTGTCGCATGTATTTCGAATAGTTCGCACTATGCAACACAGTTATGAATAAGGAGTTTTCTTCCCTTGCTGCTGGAGGTTTAAATTATAAAGACGCGGCGCTCCTCGAGCGAACCTCGGATGGGGACATTTTACCATTACCCATTTCGGGACAAATGGGTCACGGAAATACTTAGTAGCCCTCGACTCCACGTTTCTTCGTGGAAGCGGAGAGAACGGGTCGACTTAGACTATTCGTATAAACTGCCTTGGCCACATCCAACATGTAAACTTGCCTGCGATTGAGCTACGGCATTAAGTTCGAAAATTATACTATATTAAGATATGGTTGCAACTACATCGGCTTGTTGATTAGGTACTGCTTAAACGCCATGATGCCGACTTCATGTTTCTTTCATTCCTTCCCGTAACCATGCTATTGAACTGTTCAATCTCTGTGTAGTCAAATTTCTCGCAGTTGAGATAAGCAATAGTCTCATGTACCTCGTTAGCAAGTCCCCAGGACGACTTAAGATAATTGTAAACCCGAAAGCCTGCAGAAACAAGGTGTAAGTGAACAGAGATACAACCACTATCTGAAACATCTATCGCTCTAACGTCCCACACCCACATCCGGGACACACCCACATGTGGGACGCCCTAAAAATGATGCTGTATATTATAACCATTGACTTCAACCTTTTTTTACACTTATTCTGATGCGACTACAATACAGATTTCACCGTCACTAGGGTTTTCAGACTCGCTAGACTTATCTGTACTATCCTCAATTTCACCAGCCTCGATTTGAGCCTTCCGAATAGCCTTGATATTAGTAAACTTCGAATTAGGGCTCATCTTGACCTTCCTCCGCTTTCTAGCCCTACTAGCCTCAAGCTCTGCCTCTATTGCCTCAATCTTTCGCTGTGCGACAGCTAACTGGTAGTCCTTCTCATCAAAGCCCTTTTGAACTTTCCGAAAGAGTAGCCGCTGGGTATTTGGATCACTATCAAGCTTGCTGTATAAGCTGAGTTGATCTTGGAGCTCACCTCTCCTCTTAGGCGTTGACCAGGCTACTGCTGATGTCTCTAACGCCCAGTTCTGACTACTAGAGTGCCCTTTGCAAGTCTGACTAGGCTGTTTGATTGGTGCTGACGTATTCTCAAGGAGCAGGGGGCTCATAAGGGGTCTAGCTATGCTCGAAGGCAGAGACCAGTATATTTCCATCCACTGATAATGTTCTTAACGGTCAATGCTGCTAGACGTGCCTTTCTATAGCAGAGGAGAAAGTTTCTCTTCCCTACGACAGTAGTAGTATCCCATTGGTTAAGGTAACCAAGCTCTTTCTTATAGGCTGCCTTGAGGGGTCCAAAGACTGACTGATCGAGAGGCTGGAGAACGTGGGATGTGTGTGGCGGTAAGAAAAGCAAGTGTATCTTGTTTATGAAGCAGAGGTACATAAACTCTGTCGTTTCGTGGCTACTATGCCAATCTAGGATAAGTAACCTAGTCTCTTCAGGGTCCTCTGGTTAAGTCAAAGGAATAAAGATCTTTTGTAGCCACTCAATAGCCGTAGAGTCTGACGTCCACCAATTCTCTGTTGCTGTAAACCTCCAGGCTTCGTATGGAGTCAATTCCAGAGGAAACCACTGCTGCTGGACAGACTTCCCCTTGTATATCACAAGTGGGGGTAGTGCAGTACCAGTCGCAGAGATACACTCTATAAGAGATGTCCAAGCTCGAGATCCAGGCTGTTTCTTCCGTATAGAACGAGTCTCAGATGATCCTAGAACAAGACCATTTGATCCTCTACCTTCTAGAATACCTGTCTCATCCATATTGTATCGATTCGAGGCCTTAATAGCTTTGATCTCAGGGATAGCGAGGTATTTGAACCATTGCCTGATCACATTAGCTGAGGCTCCATTAATACGCTGGGAATCGATAGCTCTGCTTCTCTGGACCTTGACTGAAGGGTTCCTCTTGATAAAAGCCTGGACCCAGTTCTTTCCAAGTGCTTCGGTGTCTCCGTGGATCTGTAGGATACGCTCGGCGAAGTCTTTGAGCTGTTGATGGGTTGGTGGGAGGCCTAGGGCAGCCTGGATTCGAACCCATTCAGCCAGATGGGATTCCTGGGCTGGAGAGAGCCTCTGTTAGTCAGCGAAGGCTATATCTCTTGACTGGGCTCCCTGAATCCGTCGTGAAAGAGTAGACCTTGGGACACCATGCTCATATGCTGCTTTTCGGAGGCTTTGACCGGTAGCTATTGCTTGAAGAGCTCGATAAATATCATCTTCGGTATATTGACTCATATTGGTGTAAAGAAGACGTACGTGAAATTTCGTAACGATAGAATTGATATTGGTAAAGAAAAAAGAGGTTGAAGTTAGAGGCTAGCGGTGTTGATGAGGCATTTTTGGGTGTCCCACATGTGGGGGTGTCCCGGATGTGGGAGTGTCCCGGATGTGGGAGTGTCCCGGATGTGGGAGTGGGACGTTAAATCATCTCGAAACGTATGCAGATATTCGTCTTTATTCTCCGAGCGCGTATCTGAAGACTCTACCCTAACGTCCCGTTTCATCAGAAGATTAATCTTATCATCAAATGGAAACTCGGGAGCATTCTCACCACTACTGGTACTACTGACCTGGCTCTAATTCGCAATCTCCTCGCTACCGCGACACAGGATGGTGACACCGTTATCCCGCGTTTCCCATTGTGGGCTAACTTGGACGAGGGCGCCATGAGGAACATGGCGAATTTCCCAAGGTGGCTCTGGTCGTATCCACATTGACTTGTCGGATAGCCGTTCGACATTCTATGGCGCTGCGACGTGGTAGTGCCCCAGGGTCTGAAAAGATAAGTTCTGATGAAGATCCTGAAGGTGGAAACCGAGCCGCCGATGATGGCCTAGTACAGCTCGATCCTGCACCAGTTGAGGGAAGCGGCCAGGTAGCAGTTATAGTCGATGCCCGTATTCAGTTTGTCGTCGTGGTAATACTGCACACATCCTGTAAAGACGACAATGGAACCTCCGTTGAAGAGGCCGGTCAAGGCGGTGGCAGCGGGTGTCACTGCCGGTTTCATCCCGGTGTTGGAGAGAGTTTTGGCTGGTCACGAGGGCATGTCGGGTACTATAGCGAAGAACAATCTTGGTGGGAATCCTACGCGGCTGCAGGAGGGAAGACGGGGTGTTTTGGGAAGGATCGCTACTGTTATTGGACCGAAGTAATAGACTGTCGAACAAATCTGTTTGGAGCAGACCCATTCAGTTGACCTACCAAACTTAGGAGTAAATAAATATTTAAACTCCGCAGAACATTGAAAACTATATCGAAGCACATTGTGGTTCGTCTTCTGCAAAATATGGCAACCACCATTAGCATAAGGATGTAGACATCGGAGTCCAGCTTCACGGATATATTAGTGTACTGAACACGAATGAGATGGTCATAGCTCTAATGTCTATATTAGCGCGATTACTATATCTTGCAAGAATATGACCAATCGCTATTCTATACCAGTCCTCTGAATTGGAACCATCCATAGCTCCAAGCGTCGTGCAGTGCCCCCTGGTGAGCAGAAACTGAAAGTTAGATCAAGGAAACCATGAGAGGCACTCCCTACATTTTTAAGAGGCCAGCCGTTATAAGTGTGGCCCGATCATCTCGGCTCCGTAGCCAAATGGTGTTTGCTCACTCCTCTCCGAAATTCCCATCATATTGGCGGACCTATACAGACTCCCCACGGCCTCGCCGCTTCTGCTTCTGGAGCTTCACACTATCGGCACCCTCCTCGTCATTATTATCAGCATTGTTCTTAGGCAGGATCCTAAGCCTCATGCCCGTCACAATCGTAAACCCAACCACCACAATCTCCTCCAGCACCGCCATAACCAAGAAAATGGTCACATTGCCAAATAGCGCACTAAATTGGAGATTCCCTGTGAAATTTCCAATAATGCTGTATAGCAGCCGTACGATAATAAATGGTGCGCACACAGCGAAGCAGATGAGCAGCTTGTGCTCGGGCTTGGGGATGGCCTGCCACTTGCGTAGCATCAGCAGGAACATGATGACGCTGGCGAGATAGGTGGCTAGGAAGAGCATGGTGGCCGCTTTGGTCTCAGCGTTGCTTTGGAGGGTTGTTGCGGTCGAGCCGTAGGCTTCGGCAGCTTGCGTGCCGCCGTGGATAGCGAGGGCGATAGCGGTGAAGCCGGTGAGAGAAATTCCAGTGAATAATTTGGGGTCAACGGCGTTAACGAAGCGGTTTCTGTCAGTGAATGGTTAGTGATTTTGCTGAGTAGGGGTTGATGAAGAAAATTACCCTCGTAATAAAAGTCCCAAGTTGAGGACCGTTAGGGGTGAGAGACCGATATTTTGACACTAGAGCAAATATTAGCAACTGGGACGGACTTGTGGCTACAAAGTGAGCTGGGGGGGGAAGTTTCAGTCGTGCTTCAAGCGCAAACACACTTGAAGTAGACTCATGAGGCCTTGGAGGAGTGTGTGATCTAGAGATGAAACACGAGTGAAGGGATGTAAATCTGAAGTTGCTTACAATGAGTGCGCCGCCATAGATTGAGCGCGAAGGGAAGTGGATCGTAGCGAGTTGGAATGAGGCAGCCAGTAGTCGGATGATTGAAAATGGGATCAATATGAACCAGCCTGAACTCCTACCAAAGCCATGCCGAGAACACAGAACGAAAGCAAAAGCTAGGAAAACAGCAAAGCTAACGAGCTGTATCACAGCCACGCCGTCACGGTATGTGAAAACGCCAGTACCGTCCATGTCTGTAGCTGCACTGCAAAAGAATTGCACAGGTACGGGTGTCAGCCACCAATGGAGAGTTCCAGAGATCGTGCAAAGAATTGGAAGAAAGACTCGGTAGATATAGAACTCGGTGAGGTATTCGAGGCTCGGAGCTTGGTAAGTGTATACCAAGGGCAAAGTGAGAGAACAAGCATGGAAAGTGCCAAGCTATATAATTGTTGTCTCTTCCTCAAAACACCACTTAATGAGGTAACCCAACTTCATGGTCATCGCTTTCGTAGGCATGCGCCTCGCAACAGTTTCGTTTAATTCATTCCAACCCAAACGGGGAACTACACATGAACGAACTTTCTGGGAACGAAAGCGAGAAACGGGTCGATGTGGGATTTAAGCAAGGGTTTGATTGGCTGCCACTCAATTAGGCGACTATGCAGTGCTACGTTGGTGCATCTAGACCACGACTTGATGACAACTGGGATTGCGCCTCCACTGGCTTGTACGCAGAAAGATTTGTGTGCTGACACTGATAGTGAACCACGAAACCGGATGCGGTTCCAGTTTCCGATGACTCTCCTCGTGAAATGGCATGCATATTCCAGAGACTACAAGATCAGACAGCGATGAAGTCGAGTACCGATGGTCTGACCGTCAGCACCGGCATGTCAGGAATTACAGAGGTTAACCGCTTATGCGGTCATCCTGATACCCAGTTTTGGCAAGTGGAATGGTTATAGTGATTTGCGGCCGTGTCATTCGTCTGATCAGAATGTCAGCCAGGCAACGTTGAAACTCCAGGATATTGACTTTATCCCGAGTCGCAGAGCTAAGAAAGACTGCGTTGGCGCTCCTGCTGAAGCCCTGGGTCCGACAGACATCAAAATAGGGCGGGGATGGTCATGTTGATGAGATGCGCGATCAACCAGTACAAATTGTACTACTCGAGCTCAAAAACACCATCTATGTGACTAATGAAGGAAGTCATGTAGCCTACCAGCGTCAAGGCTGACACCTTCGGTAGGAATCCTAGAAAATGACTCTAGATACGCTGCAGTATCTCCGACGAGCTGGATTCTTTCTGCGAGGAAACGTCCCAGTTGGAATTTCGATTGTTTGGAGTTCCTTTTCCTGTTTGCATAGGATTCCTGTGATGTGTTGGGCATGTTGAGACACGCGATACTTAATGGAAAGGATGAGCAGCAATGTGTGCCCTTGTGCATTACTGAGACTCACACTCATATAATTTCGAGGAACTTTGGAGAATTGGTTATTAATTCAATGTCAATCTGAACGACTGCACAGAAGCTTGAGGAATAGAGGTGTTGCTAGCCTTACAGGGTAGCTTTGACGCAACTTTGGTCGGGCAATCCTTGCATCCCGTCGCGTAAAGCAGTCGCGTTCCACTTTACGGCTTCCAACGTCACTTCTGGAAATGCAATGATCAAGACAAGAATTCCTCACGCCCGAACACATATACGTTTTATTATATCGAGAGAATACCGCAAAATTAGATTTGCTTATGTGACCATGCCTTCCCCCAAGGCGGCAGAAGCAAAGCCGTCAGCTAAACGAAAGAACGATTCCATCTCTCCACCCCCCCTACTGAAGCGCAAAGCACAAAGCAGCATATCCAGTGAGTTGATTCACCACCGTGGAGATTTTCGCTGCTGACCACCTTGGCCAGAAAATGCTGTAGCAAATTTCTTCACTCCGACCTCTCAGAAATCCAAAGAGCGAACGAATTGGTCCGAACGTGCGCCAGACGATGACACACCTGCCACACTTCTCGTGGCCCGCTACAAACCCGAGAATGCAGAAGGACCCGAGCAACGGAGGAGACGAAAGATTGCCGCGTTCGACCTAGACTCGACGCTGATCACCACGGCTTCGGGCAAGACGCATGCCAACGACCCGAACGATTGGAAGTGGTGGGACTCTTCGGTGCCGACGAAGCTGAGGCAACTGTACACTGAAGACGATTACAGGGTCGTCATACTGAGCAACCAAGCGGGTCTAACCTTGCACCCTGACCCGAAATCCAAAGCCCCCAAGAACCTAGGGAAGGACCGGCTCGCAAATTTCAAGCAGAAGTGCAGCGCTGTGCTCACGAAGCTTGACCTGCCCACGGCCATATACGCTGCGACCGGGAAGGACATCTATCGAAAGCCGCGACCTGGCATGTGGCGCGCATTGTGCGAAGACTACAACATCTCGGAAGCCGATGTTGATCTTGAGAATAGTATATTTGTTGGCGACGCAGGGGGTCGCACAGCGCAGCTCAAAAAGGGCGAATCTGGATCTGCGACGGTCAAAGATTTCAGTTGTTCTGATCGCAACTTTGCGCACAACGTTGGCATCACGTACAAGACCCCCGAAGAGTTCTTCCTGTGCGAGAAACCACGCGAATTCACGAGGGATTTCGATCTTGCCAATCACCCATACCCCGAACACGGGGAAGACGGAACAGGCGATATTATATTTGAGAAGAAGACTAAGCAGGAAATCGTCTTGTTTTGCGGCCCGCCGGGTGGTGGGAAGAGCACTTTCTACTGGAAATATCTCAAGCCGCTGGGCTACGAGAGGGTAAATCAAGATACACTCAAGACCCGAGCGAAGTGTTTCAAGGCAACAGGAGACTTGCTCAACGGAGGACATTCCGTTGCCATTGGTGAGATCACTCTAATTTCTGCCTATTGAATGGCAGTGTCTTATGTCTTCGCAGATAACACAAATCCCGATCCAGATGGCCGCGCCGAGTGGATAAAGTTTGCTGAGAAGCACAAAGTGCCTATCCGTTGTGTATGGTTCAAGGCGTCACAAGAGCTGTGCGAACACAATGCTGCTGTGAGAGCCCTTAATAAACCCCTAAACCCTGAGGCTAGGGAGGCGTTACCTAAGATTGCCTTTAGCGGCTTCTTCTCGCGATTCAAAGAGCCTAAGGTCAAGGAGGGGTTTGGAGACGTGGTTGAGGTCGAGTTCAAGTTCCGGGGTACCGAGGCAGAGTATGCGATATGGGGACGATATTGGAACTAGATGATTAAGTTGAGAGTGTTTGCCTGATTGAGGGGGAGCTCATCTGGTGAGACAACGCCAAGCTGCGGAACACAGAATTGTTTCACGAACGCGTTTAGCTTGTCATCAGCAAGTATGAAACGAGGCCACGATAACGGGATAGAAGAGTCTATGTCGTACACGAATCTCGTCCTGCCAAGTTGCGTGTGTGCAAGCATGTTGAATGGTTTTTTATAAATCATCGTAGGCTATCTACAGGGTTATACGTAAGGGCATCGTACACACAGAAAACAAGGTTGACGTGACCTATCCGCGCTCCCGCGGGACAGCTACCGTAATAAGCACGCACACGTCTGGACTTACTCCCGCGATATAAGCAAACCAAGCGCCTAGAAATGCGTGACCAGTAACTGTTTTTTCTTTCCCCCTTCTCGACCCGACCCAAGTCCGATTGAATCATAGTCTCTCACTTGGTTGACTCGTTCGGACATGAATTGTCTTTTCCATCCGCGCCGCTGTCGTCAACGTCTCCCTTTCCCTGTGCGCATCAAGTATGATGCCGCATCAGTTTATGTATAACGTGTGGATGAGCTTGTCATAGCGCTCATCATGTCGTCATTGTTCCACCCCACTCGGCCACCCCACGGCCCCTCAACCGAACAGGGCAGCACCACCGCTCTCGACGGCCTCGATCTCGGACATTTCGATGGGTGCACGTCGGAACCGCACGGGCAGCTCGCTTCGGTCGAAGTACATACCCTTGGGAGCGGCTACGGGGCCCAGCTTGGCACCGGGCTGGCTGCCAATTCGGCCCGTGTCAATGGTCTTGCGCAGGGGGCCGTGTTGTTGGGCGTGGTCGCGGTAGCTGCTGAAGGTGCTGTGCGAGTTGCCGGGCAGGGCACCCGTGGGCGAAGCGGGGTGAGGTTGAGGGGTGTGGTCGACCTTGGCTGTGACGAGGTTAGTACGGGGATTGAAATTGAAGAGGGTGAAGATATGCATACAGGGAATTTGGTGCTTGCCGATAAATCGGATCAGAGGGGTGCGCTCAGCAGCTTGTGCCGCTTGACGGAGGGCGCGGGTTGCGAACATCGTGAGTGTTTGCGTTGATGTTGGTTCGAGACAGAGTCGACGTTTGTAATTTTTTTGGTCGCGATTTATTGGCGCGCGGCGGAGCGAGCTCGAATTTCTGTTGCGTAAGAGGTACCTCGACGTCGAATTTTCAGGCAATGGCGCAATTTTCGTAGTATTGAGCACAACTGGGGTATTTGTATGCTTGTGCAGCTCGGATTGGTAATGAGGAGTGATCGAAGAAGAGGAAGGGAGTGAGCACGAAAGTAATCGCGGGACTGGAGTTTGGTGAAATACTTAAAAGGTGGCGCTCGAGGGGAATTGTGTGGGATGATTTGAGACGGTCAGGATGGATAGACACCGCGGGCTTCGGGTGATAAGCAGACCCCTGGTCATAGACCGTTGCCTTGCTTTTTTGGGGAGCGCGAAGCACTGGAGTTTGCGGTTTTCGGACTTTGGGTTTCTAAGACCCCAGACCCCTCACCCCAGACATGCAGGAGGCAAGACTGACCGTACGTTGGTGGTCTGACACAGGTTTACGAAGACGCCTTCATATAGCTATTGCCAATAGATCTCGGGAAGTATTTACAGTAGAGTTGTCCTTCTTGGGTTTCTGATTACCCAGACAGACGTGGTCGGGAGTTTACGGGGCCTCTGTTGAGAATTTGCAGGTCCAAGAGTTTATGAGCACGAATTACCTCGGCCAACATCTGATTAACTGAAAAGCCACCCAAACTTTGAACCTTAACGGGCACATGGAAGCTTTCATAAGCATTATCCAGGATAAGAGAGCTATCCATACTCCCAACATTCCACCGTCTTGCATATGGACGTCGCACCAGCAAATTATCGGCCAGCTCCTTGCAGTCCCAAGTGCATCAAGGTCGGGAGAGCGCCGAGTGTGAAAACACAATTGCAGCATTCACCGTTGCACTGTCGCCGCAGACGTGCTTGCCGTTTGCTTGCAACGTCCTGCGGTGACCGTAGCTCATTGCGCCTCTAGAACCCTCACGAATCCTGCCGGGAGTTTTTGATGGAGGATGGCTAAAGATGCCTATTGGGCTAGAGCCACGGGAGTCAAGATGTTTCCCAGCCCATTTTTCTCATCTCGTCTCATGCATCTAGCAGACAAGCTTCCCGCATTACACATGCGGAAGTGGGGGGAATGCCTGCAGCAACCAGCTGGGCACTGACTGCCTGCTTGATAACAGCCCGACCCGAGTATTGGAGTAACTTCAATCTGACCCGACGAGGAGCTCCACACCACCAATTGGGATATTTATAACGAGAAGTCGCAGCTCCATCCTGGTAAGAAAAAAGCTGCAAACCCATTGCATCATGCGATATCGGCACAACGGATTTGTGATCGTTGGATCTGTCCGAATCCGCTTGGCTGGCTGGCTGGCTGCCATTGTCTCTTGCATCATCCCGAGAGAATTCTTTACGCGTCACCCTGAAAGGATATCGTCGTCATAAAATGCGCAATTGAGTTTCCTGTTCGAGCAATAGAGCAAACGGATGGTTGGTTCATCATGGGATCAGGGTTACCCGGGGAGTGATTTGATTTTCCATGCGGGATGATGGGACCTTGTTCAGGAATATTTGCAATGGTTGAATTCATTCTCGATGCATGATTCAAGGGCTCCCGCCAAAAGATAGTGCTGATGACTTTTTTTTTTCAAATTTCACTGCCCCATTCTTGACTCGTTGAAGTTGAAGTCGCCACTAATATGAGGATATTTCTGCCGTAGCGCTCAAAGTCTTTACAAGGTGCCACTCTTCGTGAATTACTGCGTAGGGCTGCGAACTTCATTACACAACATCGTGCAGTACCCTCCAGACGGCTATGGGCCTTGCTTGGTGTCTAGCAATGAATACTCTCTGCCAACAGGTTAACCAATTAACATCGCCACAACTCGATGCCCGCCAGTTCGAGCCTGAAAGTGACCACATCTTAAACGTGATAGTTTCCCGAAAGATACTATCTCCGGCTACGGATCTCCACTAGACCGCAAAGTATGCAATGATACCTTCTCGAATTGCGTGGGCTATATCAGGTGCTCCACTGCTGTCATGCCCGCCCTTGTCTTCCCCCACCCATTTTCTCAGCCTGCATCTAAAATTGCCAGATCTGGCAGGTACAGGACATAAGGCTGGAGATAACATGCTCCACTCCGGTGTTATACTACGATGTTACAGCCCGACGCTATACTCTTGTCCATTTGTGTTTGACAGCATACGTGGTTCATGCCGTACGGGAAATTTCCTTTTTTAGTTATCCTGCCTACTTACTGCGCGAACTGTATTTCAACTATGACCACATTGCAACTTTTACCTAGTCCTGAAGGCACTGGAATATCAGCAGTTGGATGAGTACTGTTACGGGGACGTATAACCTCCCTGAGGCAAACAACGCGGGTCAGATATTTGAGACTACGACTTCATTACCGAAGGCTACCGGTTTCAACAGGACCTGTGATACCCCCGAGGTCAACACGATAGCCACTACGAAGACGTGCGCTACCTGAGGCTTTGAATAGACTTGGTTCATTCTGCTGAATCCTTGTGATTGTTTTCTCTAATATTTTTGTCTAAACTTTGGACGAGCACCCAACAAGCTACAACAGAAAGCTGCTTCAGAACCTTAAGCGTCCAGCATCTGCTTCAGAACTTTGATCTGCTCCAGCACGCTCTCCTTGCTGGTGCCGCCCTTGGCCGAGCGCATCTCCACGCTCTTCTCGTAGTCGAAGCTGTCGCTGATGTCCTGCTCGAAGCGGGCATCCACGGACTTGAGCTGCTCAAAAGTAAGCTGGTCCATCGGCGTATTCGTATTCTCGGACAAGGCGACGACCTGGCCGGAAATGTGATGTGTTTCTCGGAAAGGCACCCCCTTTCGGACAAGATAGTCGGCGATATCCGTAGCGAGCATGAATGGGTCCAGAGCCGCCTTCATCTTCTCGGGCTTGGTGTCCAGAGTGGCCAACACGCCTTCGGCGATGCGGATGCTGTCGCTGACCGACTTGACCGTGTCGAGCATAGGCTCCCAGCTCTCCTGCAGGTCCTTGTTGTACGTGCTAGCGAGGCCCTTGAGCGTCATCATGAAGCCGGCCGAGCGGCCGAAGACGCGTCCGCTCTTGCCGCGGAGCAGCTCCAGGCTGTCGGGGTTCTTCTTCTGCGGCATCAGGGAGCTGCCCGTTGAGTAGGCATCTGCCAGTCGGACGAAGCCAAACTCGGCCGTCGAGTACAGAATGAGATCCTCCGACCACCGCGAAATGTGCATCATGAGCATAGTGCTCCATTGTAGCGTCTCAGCGACGAAGTCCCGGTCTGCCACCCCGCCCATCGAGTTCCACAGCAGCCCCTCGAACCCCAGCTCCTTGGCCATCATGTCGCGGTCGATGTTAAACGGGTTGCCCGCCAATGCACCGCAACCCAACGGACTCTTATTGACGCGCTTGATCGTCTCCCGCAGCCTCTCCAGATCCCCGGCAAACGCTAAACCATACGAGAGCATCCAGTGACTCCAGCGAATCGGCTGCGCCCGCTGCAAATGCGTGTACCCCGGCATGACATAGTCGACCTCGCTCTCAGCACGCGCAGCAATGACCTTGAGGAAGCTAACCAGGTACCCTTCGATCTTGCGCAGCTCGTCGCGCAACCACATGCGCATGTCGCAGGCGACCTGCTCGTTGCGGCTGCGGCCCGTGTGCAGTTTCCCCGCGACGTCCTTCCCGATTATCTCGCCCAGGCGGCGCTCGTTGGCCGTGTGGATGTCCTCGTCCACCCCCGGGATGATGGTGAACTTGTTGGCGTCCCACTCCTTCATCACCTCGCGCAGACCCGCTTCGATCTTGTTGAACTCGGCTTCCGTTAGGATCCCGCCTTTGCAGTTGGCCCGGGCGAAAGCGATGCTGCCGAGGATGTCCTCCTTGTAGAGAGCCTTGTCGAAGTAGATGCTCTCGTTGTACTCGACCATGAGGGGGTCGAGGCCGCCTGGGGTGGGGTCAGTGGAATCCTCTTCGTTTCGGTGTGCATGATGAAGAAAGTGGCTCGTAGGAGAGGAGACGAAGTGCAATTCCACGATTTGATTCAGACATGGCCATGATAGCTATTTCTTTACAGTTATCAGACTGCTGAAAGAGGGCTGGTTCTAGATACCCCGCCAAATGAAGTAGATGCCTGCGGGTTTCATTATATCGTCGTACTCACCAGTGAAGCGACCTCCCCAGAGCATGTTCTCTTGCTTGTTGGGCGCCATTCTGAAAGATCGTGTTGGGTATTTGAAATTGTTGAAAGCTTCAATACGCTCCGGTGTTCGCTATCGATGAGATCTCAAATTTGTGAGGTCGAGTCAGAGGTCTCAATTGGTGAAGACAAGGGTTTAGATGCATATTTGGCTTCAATGCAATCTTCTCAATAATATGCAATTGGTCAAGCTCGCACAGTAACATTTTATTACTCCAAACACGGCTCATTGTCACTCAACCGTCAGCTGATCAGTCCAAATGAATGCAGCCCGAAACACGGTCACCCCGAAGCCACGGGGCTGGGCGGCGGGGTGATGCCTCTGGTCACTGTCTTTTCGGAATTGGAAGTCTCCAATTCAAGGTCACCGGCGTGTTAGTCTGTCTACTTTGGTGGTAGGGTCCAACTTCCGGCGAGTTCCTGCCGTCCACCCGTCAACACCATCCAACTTGACCAGTACAAGCCGAAGCCTGGCCAATGAATGTCCATCAAGATGTGCTTATCATCAGCCGGACTCTGTTGACAAGGTTTGCACTGTTTCTTCACTTCGGCCAGTCCCGCTAGGGCTCTTTCTTTTCCAAGCTGAGCAATCCCTTCATGTCCATTGGCTACGAGCTCTTTAATTCAGTGGATGAACTGAAATCAAAAGTTAGGATATGGCGTATTGACCCCTGGTCCTCACTAGATCAAGCTCCACGTCTGGGCTGACAGCAAGGGAAAGGCCGATAGACCCCTGTACTGAGTATGATAAAGTGATGACCAAGGCTTCCCGCCTGCAGCATCCGGTCCAGGTGACATTTCTAAAGGAACCAGTACAAAACATCTCGGTTGCTCAACGTCCCACCATGAGGTGACGATTGCCTGACTGTTTTCATTGCTTGCCCCAAGATCCTCTGCTCTCATGACCGGCGTGTGCAAGACGCCTTTGCCCAACATTTGCGCGTTGCCTTGAAATTCCCTTATCTTCAAAGAGCGTGACAGATCCGTCGGGGCTGGAGTTAGATCCACCCCGCATTCCAAGAGCTCCAAACTTCACGATTGCCCCTCATCGCAACGGATGATCGATCATTGAAGATGACTCCCACGACTATCTACCTGCCCGACGGCCAAACCTTCACCGTGAAACCTGTTTATGGTGGCTATTTCTTCAGTTCGAATGAACTCAACAGTCGTCACACGCCTTTTCCCTCTGGTTGGACCCTTAATCTACACACTGAGGACGATGCTACGGCATATCTCAACGGACTCACTCTGGAGAAATCTGATGCATTGGACGAGCCGGTGCAAACTTATGTTCACAAGTACAAACATCCAACATTGCAACATGACATCATGTTCATTTCCAGCATTTCACAGCCCTCAAGTCAAGACTATCAGCCGGCGTCAAGCCCATCACGCGAGATAGCATTGATGCTTTGGATCTCGCTGTACTGGTATTTCCAACAACCCGAGCCTTCCCCGTACTTGGACACTGCACAGTCTGAGTTTACGCCGGATGTTGCGAAACCCAAGGGTGACTGGCGCATTCGAATCAAGCGGGACGGGGTGTTCCGCACCCGGAATATGATCCCGAAGCTTGAGAGAATGGGCCTGATATCGACCTTGGATTCTGCCGTTGGCACTAGTACCGTGGAGAACGCCGAAGGCTGGGATAAAATGTATGTAACGAGACGGAGCTTCTGGCAAATACCGTTTGGGCTATACTTGTTCAGTCTCCAACCGAAGAGAGCAAGTTCCCACCCAGGATCCCCCATTAGCAGCCGACCAACCTCTCCAACCAGCGGCGAGGCCGGCTTAAGACTCAGCATGAATTCAATCCAAGCATCTGGTATGCACCTGCTTTCTGATATACCTGGTGGCACTATACCAATTAGCCTCGCCAACCGCCCTAGTTCTCCTGTTGGGCCCTATTTTTCCGCATCACGACAGCCGACTTATTATCCGCCGCCGCCGCTGCAGTACATAATGACCAATGGTTTGCGGCATCCCCTCCGCCCCAAACCACCTCGCATGGGCGAAATCTTCTATACACGCTTTTTGCCGAGTGTTGGTAAATACTTGTCCTTCCGCGTGGCATCCGCTTCGACCAAACCCGTCCCTTCCCTGGGACCCGTAGGTCCTGACGAGAAGGAACGCCAGGAGCACGCACATCTCACCGGACTAGATGACCAAAGCCTTCTACAGAGGTGGCTATCCAATGACCGGGTCGCGGCCTTCTGGGGAAACTACCATCCCAAGTTCTTGACTGACGCCTTGGAATCGAAGCACTCGTTTCCAGCCATTGGCATGTGGGATGGGGTGCCATTTGGATACTTTGAGATATACTGGGTGAAGGAGGACCCCCTAGGCCACCAAATGGGGGGCGATGCGGAGGACTGGGATCGAGGGTTGCATGCCCTTATCGGTGAGGAGTGGGCAAGAGGTAGGGTTTCATACTGGCTTTCCAGCTTGGTCCACTGGTGTTGGCAGGCAGACAACCGGACGATGAATGTCTGCCTTGAGCCGAGAGTTGACAATGAGAGGTGAGTTCTGTTGTTCAACTGGTACCCAAGAGACACGAAGCTAATGCTAGGCAGGTTCATCCAGCACCTCCAAGTGGAAGGCTTCTCAAAAGATCGGCAAATCTCTTTCCCACACAAGCAGGCGTGGCTATTGCGACTCAAGAGAGAAGTCTGGAAAGGAGCAGCAACGTAGGACGTTGTTAAAAATATTCGGCACCTTCTGGTTTGGCTCCACCGGCACAAGCAAACGGGGCGGCTGTATCGAGTGAAGAGAGAAGACTGGGAGAAGCCGGAGTTGTGAGGCTGGTTGACTGGTATGAAGACCTAAGTTTAGACATGTCACCTTGACGTTACCAGCAATTGAGGATCATTCGATGACATTAGATTAATAGGAGGGCAACAGCAAACCTCTAGTCTTCGGGAACAGGTCGGAGACAGACCGGAACAGAATATTATGCGCAAGTAACAGAGAATTTTAACAAAGAGCCTTCAGGGCTGGCTTATTGGGTTCGCAATTGTTTATCCAGGCCTCCAAGGCCTCCATGGCAACATTTTCAGGATCAACTGCCACACAGTCGGGGTAGCGATTCTGTAACAGAAGAACATACCGCACGTATGTTCCTGAGGTTCTCACACCAGTAATCTCGCCTTGGAGTAGCCAGATTGGTTGATTGGAATAGTTGTTGTACCAGGCATGCACCAAACCATCCAAGCGCTTGTCCACAATTAGTCGGCTTTCCGAAGTGCAGCAGGAGCATATTTGGTAAGTGACTTTGCAGGTGGTCTCACTTGTTGATGTCAAATAAGTAATGTTTCCGAGTCGATGCCCGATCTCTGAAGTGTCCGCCATTGGCAATGCGCTCCGATCCGCAAGTGGTGTTGTGGAGCTATAGATTTTCTATTACATGGTGGTGCCGCCGTCGAGGTGGAAGAAAATGTAATCATCATACCGAAAGGAGGCATGATTTGTGAGCAGTTTGACTTGATAGTGGCTGTGCGTTCTCTCATCGGAAATACTCACACCGTCGCCATCAAGGTCGGCAAATCGAACATGAGCACCAGTGTTCAGATATACGGCGAACTTGCCGGTATTGGAGTCCAGAACCACGTACTCATCCTTGCCGTCTCCGCTTCTGACTTTAACACGGTACACTTCACGACTGGGAACAACCCACGAACGAGCTACCGACCCATCTATATCGGCGAACTGCGAATTGGATTGAAATTGATGCTATTTAACTGTGAAGTTACTTTTCACTTCTTATGAATCTGCTTGACGATAAAAACTTGCTAAACAGCTGAAGCACCCGTGGCGGGACCAAGCCAGGCATAGTCGTGTTTCTATGGCATTAGTGTTAGAGCAACACCCGATGACAGTTCTTGACGACCTCGTCATCAGGACGTCCCTCATTCGATTTGCTGATATATATGGTGATAACATCCATGTCCACGTTGGTATTAGCACTTCCGCGATCCCTTTCCGTCCATATCTGAATAGTCGTCTTTGCCGTATGGTGTGCGTTGGTCAGGTTTACGGTTGGAATCAGAAATAGCAATAATACGAACCTATCTATGTTGGCGAGTCTGATAGAACTTCGTTTCTGGTTGTGACATCGGCAATGGCTTTCCCTGGCCTTTGATGGTTACAGCAGAATGCTCCTTTCCCCTGTGTGCGCTGGCTGAGGAACCCGGTAAGGCCGGTTTGTTAATCCCAGATCAGATAGTATGGTATTTATCAATGCTAGTTACGAATAATCAGCTTAAATAACTCGTCTTCTCAGTCGATGCTCGGTTCGTCCAGGGGTCGTGTCCGGACATTTATGTGGGGGATGACCGATGACCTCATCGAAATGCGAATGACGGGATGTGCGGAAAGGAATTGGATTTTTTTCCCAAATCAATGTTCAAGCTATACACGGTCAGTATAATTAGTAAAAATAACAGTCACGAGAGTCACAAGTATTCAGTGCTCAGTAAAACCATCACTCTTCATCGTTAAGACACACGACTACTTGACACCAAGAACAGAGATACTGCAGCGGTACACCATGGCAGCCCGCACCTTCCTCATCGTCGGCGCGACCGGCCAGCAAGGCAGTTCCGTCCTCTCAGCGTTATCCAAGCTGCTCTCCTTATCCTCATTCTCATCCAGCCCGGCCCCCAAGATCCTAGCCTTGACTCGTTCGGCAAAATCGGCCAAAGCCCAGACTCTAACGACCAAGTACCCCCAACTGAACATCACGGTTGTGGAAGGCGACGTCAAAGACCCCACGCCCATCTTCGAGGCCCACCCGGGGATCAACTCCGTCTTTGCCTACACTAAGCCGCCCAACGAGGAACCGCAGGCCATCCCATTGATCGACGCCGCGGCGGCGGCGGGCTTGTCCCAAATCGTCTTCTCGTCTGTCGAGCGAGGCGGCGACAAAAGGTCGTGGGACAATCCCACAGATGTACCGCATTTCCTACAGAAGCACAACATCGAACTGCATCTGAAGCAGAAAGCGGAGCAGAGCCACGGCAAATTGGATTGGACCATCCTCCGCCCCACAGCATTCTTTGATAACCTCAATCCGGGAACGTTCGGCAAGGTGTTTGCGAGTCTATGGGCGACGATGCCGGAGACTACGAAGTTGCAATTGGTAAGCTGCCGGGATATTGGGCTGTTTGCTGCGAAGGCGCTGTTGGAGCCGGAGAAGTGGAGTGGGAGGGCGGTCGGGTTAGCAGGGGATGAGATGACGCTAGGAGAAGCGAGGAATATTTATAGACGAGTGGTGGGAAGAGAGTTGCCCGAGGCATGGGGTCCCGTGGGTCAGGGAGTTCGATGGGCAATTGGGGATTTGAGCAAGATGTTTAATTTCTTCGAGAAAAACGGGTATGGGGTTGATATTAAGAATTTGAGGGAAGAGGAGTCAGAGCTACAGGATTTTGAGACGTGGTTGAAGCAGAGTAGTAAACATGAGGTCAGGGAGGATTGATTCAGGGGGTAAACTGATGTGTCCCGTGATAGGTTTTGGCTGATTTGGCTTGTACAAGGCTTGTACGATATGACGAGGGCTCCCGAATTAGGTATATGTGTCTCGCATTCACGAAATCACGGTGTTTTATGAGGTTTTGAATGGTAAACCTTTTTCAAAATTGCGTTAATTGCCAGGTGCTAACTTAGCTGCTACCGATAGTCAAATTAAGCATGGCTACGCGCATAAGGTATTATAACGCTCTGCAGATTAACATCAGATTCTCGGCAAGAATAAACTGACATTAAATAGGCATAACGATCACAATGAAGAATTTGGATTCACAATTTGCCGCTCTTGCGCTACGTGCGGTACAAGATTTGACCCTATATCTCGCCTAAACAGCCAGTTCTAGGCCTGCTATTTTCCTTGAAAATACTGGCGTTAAGAGTTTCTTCTTCCGTATGCTTCAGATGGGAATGCAGCGCTGGATATAGCCATTTCCACGAACAGCGCAGACGAGACGTAGATAGCGGCTGATATTGAAGTAACAGCCGCCGTAGCAACAGCTAAGATAATACCCATCACATGATTACAGTCAAAATGATCCATCGAAAGGTTAATATCTTTCCTGCGGACCTCTATGGCTTAATTAAGTACCCTAAACAACAACACAACTCAACTGAAAAGTGGATTTATAAATATTATGGGACTGGTTCCATAGTTCAGAGTTTCTAAGCGTAAGGTACCAGAACTCTGGGTCTGTGGCTCGGTAAGGTTCCGAACGGTTATGACTCGTCGACATTCAATATCTACAAACCCGACTTGATCGGAAGACTAAGATAGTCACCTAAGTATTGAACGGCTCAATTGGGGAGCAACATGTGGTTGAAATGCGTATACGAGAGTCTGTTGGGTCGTTCCTGGGCAACGCGTACCGCATCATGCCACTCAAAACTAAGTCCACTTCGTGCAGCTGTTGCAAGAATACTGAAGCGACCAGCCACTGCTCCAAACACTGTATTGCTCTGTTCATGATATAATCCCCACTACTTCCCAGCTATTACACAAATTATTTGTGCTCATTGATCTTATTCCTACTGTTGTCTCGTGGAGTGTCAACACTGCGCGGTCCCGATATTGTTTATACCAAGTGCTTGTTAACTAAGTTTTCACCGTTTCTAAAACTATATTCCATTTTCAATCATATAACTTCCTGTTATATGGGTAGATAACTTGAGATTGCGTTAATCTGTACCCGGTTCAACGAATGGAATGGAAATACACGAGTATGTACCTTTTTATACCCCTATAAATTGGCATACCCCAACGAGTACAGTGACTCATGATTTCCAGGCTCTAAGCATACGTCTTGATATTCATGAATCGATATTCAACAGTCTGTCAATCACAAAGGACGCCGTGAATTTGACTTCGAACACCGTGGATAAGTAAACGGGACTGCTTTTTTGGATCAACGACGGAATTTCCACCCGTTTCGTGGTGTATAAATTTACTGATTTCTTCCTGCCACATATCTGGGTTTCCATCACAGTCAATCTCCCGTACATGTCATTTTCTTGGCCACATTTGTCAAGACTTGCCATGTACCGTCCTTAACTGTACATCCGCATGCGGTAGCACGATCTACCAAAACCTCCGGCCGTGTCATCGTTGCACTACCAGACATACCTCCATTCAAAACCATCATCATACAGCAATCAAAAATGGCTGAAGCTACCGCACTATTGGAGTGGATCTCCTTAGCTCAGATCTTGCACCAGGTCAACGACAACTTCGACCTTCTGGGCAAGCTCATCAAGCGTGAGAACCTGGGGTTGGAACGACGCCAAGCCGAAGAGGTGCGACGTGAAGTTCTGGCGGCTCTTCAAGAACTTGTGCATCCTAGTGTCGAGCTCTTCTGGACTGGCACAGCGTTCCAGCAAGACGTACTTGCGGAGTCGCTTGCCTCGAGGCAGCTTGCCACTGGAAACTACCAGGTCAGCTACCCAAACCTTCAAGGAAGTCATAAACACCTCTGCCTTATCGATGACTTCGGGTTTAACTACCCCTTCAGTGCCGCCAGATTCGACTCTACGTCTGGACTTCCAGAATGGCTGCTTTACGCCAAAGCCAGAGGCCAGCAACACGCTAAGACGCAGGGAGTAATAACCCAAACGACTATCCAAGACCTATGGAATGACTTTACGCGGCTTTCAGCCCTTCAAACTCGACGAACTCAACCATCAGCCGATGCACTTGTCTCCTATCCAACAGCTCACCTCATGCGAAAACCACGGGACAGGCTCTCGGAGACTCACTATGACTCCACTCGTTTAAGACAACTTCGACGACTTGCCAGACCGTGGCTGCGTCTCACACCTTCCGGTGACATCATTTACTCCCCCACCGCTGAGATTATGAATCGAACACCCGAGACCATCTCGGAGAATCACTACGATGAATCTCACCACCGACAACTTCGACGTCCTGTCCGTCTGACAAAAACCCGCCAACATCAATATTCCATAGTGCAGAGAGCCAGTTCCAGTTTACCATACAGATGTGTACCTTCAGTTCATACTGACACAGCCGGGTTGACCTTTACATCAACGCAACAACACCACATTTCTGCACCATCACGGTCAGCAAAAAACCGCCTGGTCATGGTTCAGTCATGCCAAAAAGCTATCCAATGGCCATCCTTGGAGGCCGATGCCTTCGATGACACTCATGCCTACCAAGCAATCAACCGCGCCGGTGCACACAACTTTTTGCAGCTCCTCGAATGGGTCCCTCCGCCTCCCAGACAGTTCACACAAGACCAGATCCTACATGAGATTTGGCTGTGTTGCTGGAATGAGTACAAATACACGCCACTCAACTGCAACATATGCCGCACAATCTACGACGCCAACCTCCTCATGGCACGCAGGCGCATCTTACCGGCCTCCAACAACATCGCCTATAATGCTGGCCCCACCGATATCAGGAAACTTATTTACTACCGACTGAAAATCGAAGAGACGCCCCCGCCAGCTTCCGTGAGCTTTTGCGTCCCCCGAACACAATCCATCCCAGATCAACTCGACGACCTCAGACGCTGCCTCGAACGGTACATGGAATGCAGCCAGGAAAGGAGGGGTGCCCAGAACAGCTTCGGAGACATCACCTACGAGGTTAACCTCATCAATGAGCAGACTTTCGACGACCCATGGGACGTGAGTTATCCAACGGAAATCATGCCCCCCAGACCTCCACTCCTCTGCGTCACCAATCGGCATGAGTTCTGCCCACGTCGACTTACCGCGCTTCGTCCAGAGAATAGTGAGAACGACATCCCGGCCAATAGCCCAACAAGGCAGAATAGCCGACGAAGTGACAATGCCAGCCCAAGCAACACACTGCACCGATCGATGCTGCAGTTCAGATAAATGTAAACTATTCACTCGTCGTCCTTGAGTACTACGCCACAATGATATGAGCCTCCGATGGGAATATCGACAGATTTGGAAGGATACTATGGACCAATCTCACACCTTGAGTGGATAATGGCCGCACGTGGAGGAATATAAAAGAGTCCGAGACGCCTAAGAAATTTGGATTCCATCAGTACAGGCATTTTGACTAACACAACACGTGTTATTTGAGGAATCATTGGCTTGGATTGACTTCAGGGAGGATCAAATTTGGAAATCCTACATCACATATAGCACACAACGGACATTGAGAGGGAGTTAGGCACAGTCAAGTGGCTGGCGTCTGGGTTAACGGCGGGCTTCCAAATTCAACGTACTTTGTCAGCAGTCACAATCTGTGCCAACTCAATTGCGTACACAATGCATCGTGCTATGGCTGATTTGTTACCTTAATCGCCCACCCACCTCAACCACGAAGAGAGCCAAAGTGAGATCATCGCGTAGTGGCTTCCGGAGTTCTGTGACCACGCATCGCCTTCCCCAAGAGGATCAGGACTGAATGCTTGCTGGATAGGAATGGAGGAGTTGGGAGGGGCATTGCTCGCATTTGGTTTACTCAGAGCGAGTACGGCGTCTCTAAGTAGTTGGTGGACGCACATCTCAAGTTTGACATGTTCATGAATTGATAAAGATGAACTACGGAGTACGTTCGTAATTCGAGCTCCCGTCTCTCGGAAGCTGATATCTGTCTATCAAGACACTAAGCTGCATTTAATATACAATCAGTGGAACACCCCTGTCGATACACTGAATTCAATTGACTATTGACCCCACCAACCCCGAATATGGGTCGTGAGGGGTCGCAACCTTTGGGCCATTACCTGCTACGAAAACTTCCATTTCATACCTTTGCTCAAGCCTCCTCATCCTGCCTACCTTTCCTTACAATAACCTCGCCCTCAAAATGGCCGACACCAAAGTCTACCGCGCCAGCACAACGGCCCCCGTCAACATCGCCGTGGTCAAATACTGGGGCAAGCGCGACCCCAAGCTCAACCTGCCTACCAACTCATCCCTGTCGGTAACCCTCTCGCAAGACGATCTACGCACCCTAACCACGGCCTCTTGCTCCTCTGCTTACAAAGAAGACACGCTCCTCCTCAACGGCTCGCCGTCCGACCTCACGGGCGCACGAACCCAGGCCTGCCTCCGCGAGCTGCGTTCCCGCCGCGCCGCCCTTGAGTCTAACGATGCATCGCTGCCCAAGCTCTCCACCATGCCGCTCCTCCTTGTCTCCGAGAACAACTTCCCCACCGCCGCCGGTCTCGCATCCTCGGCCGCTGGCTTCGCGGCTCTGGTTCGTGCTACCGCCGATTTGTACGAGTTGCCCGCTTCGCCCACGGAATTATCCCTTATCGCGCGCCAGGGCAGCGGGTCGGCCTGCCGTAGTTTGTTTGGAGGGTACGTGGCATGGCGCCATGGGTCACAGGCCGACGGTTTGGACTCGAAGGCCGTCGAGGTTGCGCCGGCGTCGCATTGGCCGACTATGCGTGCGTTGATTCTTGTGGTGTCGGCGGCGAAGAAGGGGGTTAGTTCGACGAGTGGGATGCAGCAGACAGTCGCCACGTCGGGACTGTTCAAGCAGCGCATAGCTGATGTGGTGCCGGCAAACATGGAGACGATGGAGGCGGCGATTGCGGCGAAGGACTTTGCCAAATTTGCCGAGGTCACGATGCGGGATTCCAACTCGTTTCATGCTACGTGTGCGGACACGTACCCGCCTATTTTCTACATGAACGATGTTTCGAGAGCGGCGGTGAGGGCGGTTGAGGCGATCAATGCCGCGGCGGGGAGGACGGTGGCGGCTTATACCTTTGACGCTGGTCCGAACGCTGTGATTTACTATTTGGAGGAGGACAAGGAGACAATCCTGGGAACTTTCTACCCGTTGTTGCAGGACACTGATGGGTGGAAGGATGGTGCAAAGGTTTTCAAGACTAGTGTGGAGTTGGATGAAGCCGTCGCAGGCCAGTTGAAGGCTGGTGTTAGCCGGGTCATCATGACGGGTGTTGGTGAAGGGCCTACGAAAACGGATGTTTACTTGGTTTCTGAAGAGGGTAAGCCTCTGTCGACTGAGTCATGATGCGGTGCAATTTAGATAGCTTGGAGTGAATCCAGGCAATAGCTATGTTGTGGAGCAATTGGGAAGTCTACCATTCATGAGACCAGATGGGGGATGTAAGCTACTGCTGTATGCCTCTGACGCGGTATGGTCATGTGCTTATAAAAAGGTCCAGCATTAACCGGATTGCTCTTGCAGACTGCATCAAACCGAGCAGCTGGAGTTGATCCGTGAGGAACTGGCTGCCATGGAGAGCAAACGGCAGCATTTGTTTGCATGGCCAAGGGGTCAACATATCTACCTATTCATACTACCTATGGCCGTTAAGAGGGCGCCTTCTGTTCAATGCCCACGATGACGAAAGATGTGCCTTATACCGTATAGTCGAATGGAAGTATTTATATCATGATAACATTCATTTCAAGTGTGTTCGTTATTTTGCCTTTCTCATATGTTAGCCTGACATCCATCCTCTTGCCCCTCGGACTGTAAACGAGTGGCCTGATCTCCCCCCAGTCCAACTACTTGGCCATGAAATACGGTGACCCCATTCGCTTAACGATCTTGAAATCCCGCGGCTTCAAGAACATCGGCTCGGTGATGTCGAGGTACTCATTGTAATATTCCTCGGTGAGTGGATTCTGGCGGTTATGTAAGCATCGCGTTTTCTCCAATCAATCTCTTACGTCTTGACGAACCTGCACAAGCCATTCCATTGGCTTCGTCTTATACGTATAAGTAATTCCAGCTGTGTGGTGTCCAACAGATCATACATAGTGTAAGTTAGAGTCAGGTATTTACCAATTCCCAGCCCACGAGAGCGTCCCTGGAGACTCCGCGGGTTGGTATAACCCGAAGAAGACCGCATTCGGGCTCCCTGACGACTTTCTCGTAGACGGACTTGAAGGCCTCGAAGAAATTGGCACGTTCTCGGGCGCGATTTGGATGGTTACGTGAAGGCGGATGCCTCCAGAGGGTTCTGTCTTGTTGCTGGATTTTTAGCTTCCGACTCAGGTTTGAATTTAGGTGTGTTGAATCGAAGGGACCAAAGCAAGAATGGTATTCTTGTAATTCTTTTTTGGGGGGTGGGGCTACAGCCTGGTTTATACATATATTGACTGAGCAACATTGTACTGAGCCAGGATGGCACAATCGGACGTTGATGCTACCTATATCCAAGAACAGAACTAGCTTGCGCATTTCCCTCTGATTTCGCCTCTTATCTCCTGCTCAACAGCATTGTGAGAGGATTTGCAGAGATAGGTATTCGGTGCTGAGTAGACTCGCCGACATAGTGATCCCCTAACAGGTAGTGCATGTTTGCCTGGGACTTCTGGTTTTTGGAACTTGCGTATTGACTCACTAGCTACAGTATATCCCTCTGAAAAGCGACCCGTAACAGCTTTGTGCACAGTTTATACATTTCCCACTAGTTTCCGTCCTCTAGCTAGAACTAACTATATTGCTTCAATCCGACTTTTCGTATCTTACAGCGAGGAAAAACCAACCTCAGCATGCCGCCATGCATAGGGAACAGACCTCTGACCCGCCAGGAAGTCCGATGGAAGTAATCCAGACCTAGTGTATCTCTTTCTGATATCAGTTTTTTCAGGCCGCACCTTGAGAAGCTGTTGGTCGACAAAGAATCCTTGCGAGTAAGACTGCGCTGCAGCGTAGCAGTCTCCCCAACGGTCCCAGCACTTGACCTCGCCCACCCGTTCCTGCCAGAAGTAACCAGTATCCGCCGGCTCAAACTCTTCGTCCTCATCCCATTTTATCCCCGGGTTAGCGGCCGTCCAAGCCGCTGCATCCGCACGACTAGTGACGGCTGTCTCGGCATCAAGCATGACCCACGCTTTATCCGTGAGCAGCCACTCTTCTTCTTCGGAAATACGGCCGGGTCCGACGCCAGCTACTCCGCAGACAGACTCGAGGAAAGATGGAAGAATCTCTGATATAGCCCAGCTCAGAGCGGGTCCATGATCGTCGCGCGTCAAGCTCAGACAGAACTTGTCTTCGGCGATGCCGAGGCAGCTGCTCGGGTCATTGAAGAGCGGTACGTACGCCTCGCCCATATCACTCTCGGTCAGTGCCGGGAAGTCTGCTTTTCGTTCTCTGCGGATGACCGGCGAGTGCTCGAAGGGTAAGTTTAAACTGCAGTTTTGAATAGACAAAGACACAATCTCATCCGCGTGAAATTGGATCTCGCGTGACACGCGCGGTTCGCGATCTGGCAGAGCGTCTTCTTCGACTAATGGCGTCTCTGATCTTAGCCGGTCGTCGCCAGCCTTCAGGTACAAGCCCCTTTTGGGCCTGGTCATCTTAAGTGTCTTGACTTTGTCGGAGGGGATGGCGCACATCCTCCGTGCCTCGCGGCAGGTCTGTCTGAGCGCATAACGCACTTGCCATGTTGAAGGGTCGTATCGGGATACGGCCTCGTCGTCATCCTCGATAGCCATGCGACGCAGGTCAAGATACAGATGCGGAGGGGTGGTTTCCTTGTTGCAGCCTTCGTGATCCTTGAGCCAGGTGTGGACGTTGAAGAAATTGATGCCAGGGCTGGGGATGGCTTCCAGGTAGATCTGGTGACGGAGTTCAGGTGGTAGGAGAGTAAATTTGGGGAACACAGCTAACGATGATGTTGCCGACATGGCTGCATTCGGTAGTCTGTTCTTCAGATGTGTTGCTTAGGGAGTAGGTGAAGATGAGTATCTCAGTAATCCCCACCAAGATGTAGATCGGGACCAGGAAAAGGAAGGGAGCCCGGCAGATCAGCTGCAGTCTGATAGTGCTTTCTTGACAGTGATTACAGGCAATGCGGAGTGGTGTATCAAATATGCCTGCAAGGTGACGTGCCGATTGTCAGATTCTTATTGCATGTGAAACATACGATGTGATGCTCAAATCTTTGCTTGCTCGATTCCCAGCCCAAATACGTGTTGCAATCCCTCAGAGGTAAAGCACTTGATGCTTACAGAAGCAAAATGCCCTCTAGAAACCTACATTGCAAGATAAAATCCATTATGCCGTTGCTAGGCAGGGGTAATTCCTAAAAATTCCGACCTATGAGCACATGCATCTAAGCCCATTCATGATGCCTGTTGAGATGTTTTGGCCAATCAACGACGGGTTAAGATCCCTTACGAGCCGCAGGCGCTACCCGGGAGCGCAGACAAATTTTTCCTCCGTTAAGATGCCTGCCGATCTCCGTGAAAAGTTCCATGACACGCTTTCGCTTGCACTCCCCAGTCCCTCCCGTGGCCCAGCTAGAATAAAATGATTCCAGCATGCTACTCGACTTGCTAGACCAGATTTTCCTCAATCGCAAAGCTCCCGCAGCTTCCGATAGCCCCATCCGCGGCACTATGCCCGATTCAAAAACAGCAGATGTGTGTCCGGTAGACCACACAAGTCGGCAGGCTTGGCTATCGCAAGCCAAGTCTGCGCAAGCGGAATCGAAAACGGTCCCTCGGCAGCATCCGCCAACGTCTAAAGATGAGGAGGAAGCTTGTCCCGTGGACCACAAGGCACGCGAGGCATGGTTGCAGCAAGCCCGAGCTGCATCAGAAAGCACAGCAGCAAAACCGGCGCAACCAACTCCATCACAACCACAACCACAGCCGCAAGCGGCCTCGTCTTCATGGGCGTCCTCTTTACGCTTGTGGATACCCTTCTCCTCCTCCTCGTCCACATCCTCGCCATCCACAACACCATTTCGACCGACGCCATCACTAGGCACTGACCGCGTAATCTCCACGATACCGCGTTCCTCGACCCCTGGCGAAGCCGCCTGTCCGCCAGCGAATCAAGAACTAGAAACAGGCTCGGATAGCAAGACAGGGAACTGGATCTACCCATCCGAGAAGATGTTCTTCGAGGCTATGAAACGGAAAGGCCACGATCCGCAGTCGACGGATATGCAGACGGTCGTGCCTATCCACAATGCAGTCAACGAGCGAGCGTGGGCTGAGATCAAGAAGTGGGAGGGTCCTTGGGTCAAGGAATCGAGGTTAGTTCCATCGAGCTTTATAGCAATAGAGCACCATATCGGTCTCTTTCCCACTGCACATCCATACATACACCATGATGATATACCAGCTGGCACCAGTCATAGGGTTACTTGTACTCCCTCCTTTGATGACCAAAATGCTGTGGTCTTAAGACCCATTTCTGATACCCCTACTCTGAGAGTTTCCCAAATTACTCGCCCACACACCACCTCGCCTACGCTCTTTCCGCAGACGGGTCTGTTCAATCAAGCCAAGCAGCTTACTGACTTAAGATCTTGCTAGTTGCGACGGCCCTCGGTTACACTCATTCTCTGGTTTAGGAAGCACCAAGCTGTCACCTAGGGCACGAATCAATACAATGCTGGGGTACAGCGCACCTTTCGACCGTCATGACTGGGTGGTCGATCGGTGTGGGAAAGAGGTCGAATACATCATCGACTTCTATGCCGGGAAAAGCACCGGTGATGGCAGGCCTTCCTTCTACCTCGACGTACGGCCAAAGTTGAACAGCTGGGAGGGTATTAAAATGCGCGCAACGCGTGGTTTGGGTGTTGTATGAAATGTGGTGTATGTGTATGTGTATGTGTAAGGATCAGGGAAGTTACGAGATCACATTCTCCCCTCATCCCATTGGAGGGTTGGGGGCATGGCCTGCAGCGAGTTGTTCTCGCAGGGCCTTTGGTTCTTTTATGCGATTGGTCAAAATGGTAGCAGAGGCGCTTGGAGTTCTGGCAAGGCACGGTCGTATTTGGACTCATTTCTCCCAAAACTTGAGATCGAAGGGAAAGCTACAAACAGCAGTAGGGTATCATACATCCACTCAACTCCTTCACTCAACAACGATACGAATGGCAGGTCCTGTCTCCACGGCCCCCGTGTCCAGGTTCCAGCCAGCACTTGACAGCGCCTTCCACAACTCTTCGCCACCAAAGGGCTCCTTCCCAGCCAAGGCCGTCATGTATCCCTTGAGCGCATCTTGTGCCGTTGCTCCTTTCTTGAGGAAGATCAGCTTGCAATCGCCCATGTCGGCTATGACGAAACTCTCGTCTCGGAACTTGCGAAGGTCCTGAACCTGGATCTGGTTGTTCTGCGGGAATGTGCGGCTGAAAATGACACGAGGAGCCTTCCAAGAGATGATGCTCTCTCGTCTCGCAACGTCCCGAGGGTTCAAGACACGGCCACTTCGTTGGTACTCCTTGACGACGATTTCAGCCCGCTGGCGGTTCAAGCTTCGCATCTGCACGGCACGAACGGCCCTGTAGTTCGTCCACAGATGGATGCCAACCAGGATGAACATCCAGGTCCAGACGGCAGCTCGGCCTTCGACGACGCGAACGAAGAGACTACCAGCCAGCATGCCCATGAGGGAAATGACCGTCTCCTGGCTCCCGTCCTTCGCGTTCAGCTCAGCGAGGTTGCCATTTTTGGCGAAGTGGGCGCTCAAGCTTGCCTTCGCCGCACCTGCCGCTACACCGCAGAGGGATCGCAAGATACCAGCGGCACACAGGGCGAGGATCTTGGGGTAGGTGGGAAGAGCTGGTGTCAGGACATCAAGCAGCAGTGCCGAATCGTTCAACAGATCAGCCAGGAACCGGTAGTACTTGCATTCGGGTTCAATAGCCTGGCCAAACCGATGAGCGAACACAATAGTAGCCAGTCGGCCAGTGGATTCTTGCAGAACGGAGAGCAGAACTGCTCCGGTCGCTGAGCCGGCGTCGTCGCCTACACCGAGGCTTTGGAGCACAGCTCTGTTGGACAGCAGCCCGGCGATTGAACTAGAAAATGCCTGCAGCGAATCCTGTGACTTGTTAGTGAATGCGACCAATTGAGCGACCAAATATAAGACATGTGGGATATCTTACGTAGATCTGGTAGGGCATGTAATCCGCCGTGACCGTATGGGGATAACCGGCGGGGAGAAAGACATCCAGGACATCTTTCGCATAGCTGCTGCTCGTCTTCTTGGGGGGCTGCGTGTGTCGCGTATTAGCCATGTCACGATCATAAAAGGTGGAAGCAAGAGTTTGGGGCAGTCGCACAATGGCTTTCCAGGATCCGGTCTTGTCGTCCCCGGTGTACGCGCAGAGGACGGTGCCAGACTCATCGATGGCGCAAACAAGCGTAGGCGAAGACGGCTCCATAGTGATATGCTTTTTGTTGCGCGCCGCTCATGGAGATTTGACGGATAGACGTTGTGGTAGAGGCAGAGGTGGCATTTGCAACTACCCATAAATGGTAATTAAGTGGGACCAAGAGCTCTGAAGTAGCTGCCTCATTGGACGCTTTCCAACTTCGCGCCTCAGGCCAGTGGAATAAACCAGCTAAGCTCTACACTTCAGAGGCCTTTGGTCTGCCTCGGATGGGATTATATGTGCCTCAGAGTAATGAAGATGAATGTGTGGTTGCCAGGTAGGCAGAAACAATCAACCTTCAAGGTCGTTCACCTTCCCGAGCCATGTCCAAGTTACATGTCAATCGCCTGCATTGCTGTAAACTAGTCAGGTATGTCAATAGGAGGTATGAAGCTGTCGTTTACAGTTGATCTTTCCAACCGTTCAAATACAAATAGAAAGCATGCCAATCAACATTTCTCCTTGGTGAGCAGGCAGGGTGCATATATTGTATTCTGGGATGAAAGATGCAACGAAGGGTTTATGGGAGAAATTAAGCAACTGAAAATAAAACGGAGAAATAATATCGAAAGCTTGATAAGCCGTAGAGGACCCCGGCAATACACTCCTGTACCTATAGCAAGGTATCTAGGTCATGAAGAGCAGCCAAAGGCCATGACTATCAATGCCCTAATTCGCATATAATACTATGACTTTATAAGCACCTTCGGCCACTGTTCAACCTGGGCTCTCTGGGATCCCCCAGTGTCAATTGTTCTCGTGGGATTTGGCTTGAGTTGTCTGGCTGGAATTTGCAACAAGTCACAAATTAAAGATGTTTTCGTGTCTTGCGTCGTTGCACAATGGAATCATGCGTCCTTGCAGAAATCGCCGTTATTGTGCATAGAAGCAATATGTTACTCAGACAAATAATCAATCCCTCGAGAACCTGGCGAGGTTCATATCCTCGTACTGGTGTGCTGATCTTATTTTCTTCCTTATCAAGTTCCTTGACAAATCCCGTCATTGCTTGCCTTGCCACGTCTGTCGTGGATTTTCGGTTGGATTTAAGATACCTCTTCTACCGAGTAACGCGGGTTTGGGAAGTCACATCCTGCGTTGAACGACGAAAAGTAGGACAAGCACCAAGACCTTCGTTTGCGGCTGCGGATTAATCATTATACGCCCTCCCATGACATAAGAAACATCAATCCGTTATCTTCAACGCTTGCAGTCGGTTCGACTCACACCTACCCTCTGAAGAACTATCGAAACTGCGGTGATTAGCTCGTATGTCTCAGCGTGGCGCGAGAAAGACAGTCGGAAATGAATGCACCCGAAAGATAAATACTGCAAGCATTTGCCATCTCAGGCTTGCTCATCCCTCTCGCAGGTGGAAGAGCACTTTGCTACAAACTCAACGATATTCTCTCCAAGCCCTCAGACGACGATGCAGAGACGCAATGGCTGTCCGAGCTCGCCTCCAAACCCCTCACCAATCCGTCGTCATATCGCCTCTCCAAACCCTGTGGCCTTGTGACCAACCCAGATGTCCTTGTCCTTTCTTCAAAGGATGACCCGCTTCTTCGCTCCTCCAACCACAATGGTCACTTCGAGAACACTCTTCGAGTCTGCCATGCTTTCCACGCCGACCTTGCATCACGGTATATTGAAAAACTAAATTTCATGGATAAAAGATGGAACCGCTAGTATGGAGCAGATCGCGGGACTTGGGGTGATAGCACGCTTGAGGATGTTCCGAACATCAAAGAGAAGATGCTGGTGCCCTTCCAACCAGTCCTCCAGAGATTGAAAAGTCGGATGAAGCTGTTGCCGGGGCCTTTGCCCGACCAATTGATTCATGTAGCCTTGCTGCGAATGTGCTGTTTGACGGAGAAACGGGGCAACCGCTGTGAATGATCGACATGACCCCGTACTGGGGACCAGTCGAGTACGCGGAGGGAGAGAACTGATGGCACTCCACGGGATAGATGAGTATCGGCTACAGCTGCTTGTCAGAGCGACGTGCTGGCTATGTGTCCCTTGGACTATTGACACAGGTATACCCTGGGACAAGAAATGTTTTTCAACCGTGAGTTTTCAGCGAGGTCTGGATATTATGTCCCATGTTATTCCATCTTTATAAAAAAGATGAATCTTGCAGTGGCGGGATAACATAGTTTAGGGGGTTTAGTGGTGCTGTCCTTGTCTTGGAAGGACCATAGGCTCATGCGATGGAAGCAATAACGCCTAAGATATAACTATTGAGGATATAATTCTACCGCGTGCTTATGCAAATATCAGCTCCGAACAGGTTCAGCACGTACTTGAGCTGCTTCCGGAAACACTCAAGATTTTCGTCTAACAGACCTGGTGCCGTCACGTTACGCTCCGAGTTGCATAAGGTTTACTTCAGCTTCAGGCAAAAGTCAAAGCTAAATAAATGCGGAAGACAGAAGCACTCCGTCTAAGTGATGTATGTATACGGGTATCGTCGCCTACACCACTCGCGAGCATTACTCTTGTTTTCCTGTCTTCTCCGTATCCTTTTCCTTGTCCTTCTTCTTATCCTTGGCCTCGGCGTCCCCGTCGTCATCGCCCTTGCGATTTTGCTTTTCTTCCTCGGTGTCCAACACTTCCTGCACCTCGTCGGTCATGCCTAAGTCCTTGTACTCATCGTAATCGACATCGTACTCCTGCGCAATGACGCGAATCTCGTGCCGCAAGCCGTTCGCATCCTGAACTAACGTCTCCCACTTCGCCGGGTCGAAGCCCCGGGTCTCGTACAGCGCGTTCTGGCGGCGGGTGATGGTCATGTTTAGCGCGGCCCGGTAACTGAGATCCTTGCTGATGAAGAGGAACCACAAATAACCCCCCATGATGGTCGTTAGGCCTGCCAGATAGGTGACGGGCTCGACGAGATCCCAGCCGGCGTCCGTGTGGAAGGTGACGAAGTACACTACTCCCCACCACCCCGTGAGGGCCCCAAAGCCAGCTTTAGCCAAGCGGTGAGCGCCGCGGTGGGCAAGCTCGTCGCACTCCTGCTTTATTTTGGACAAGTCCTCGATCCGGTGCGACAGGCGCCGAAGTCGAACCCGCATGAAATGCGTGCGGTCGTTGAAGCTGGGCACACCGACTCGCATCTCGGTGTCGTGCCCGTCGATGTCAATAGCAAACTCTCGGCCTCGAGCCGCATCACGAATGAAGTCGCCAATCTCGGTCGAGCTCGACCAACGGACCCAGTCCTTATCCTTTGCTGGAGTGGCTGGTCCTTCACGGCCCAGTCCAGATTGCGTTGCTACGTGCGAGTTGTCCTTGTGCCTGACCTCGCCGTCTTCATCTCTGTCCGAGCCCTCGGCACGGAAGTACACGTTGGGCATCTTCTCGCGGCCATTTTTGTCGTATATCGGTGGCAGCTCGGCTTGGATCAGGCGTTCAAGGTAGGAGAGGGGCTGTTGGGGGTGGACGAGGAGGGCCAGTGGCTGGATGTCTTCGTTCTGGGCTAGGGATCGGAATTCACCTTTGTTCCCCTTTTCATCATGAGTTGCATCGACGGGTAACGGCAAGATGAGCTTGAGGAGGCGAGTTGGCGTCGTCAGGAGCTTGCCTGTTGATTGCAACCGTCAGTATTCTGCTGACAGCGATTTGCACCGCAAATATGAAGTGAAAAGTTGCTCACCCTTTGCCATGGTCTTGTTAGCATTGCGTGCCTCCTGATCGACGGGCGGCTTATCGGCGCCTTCGCGCTGCCACGGTCTTTTGATCTGGCTCTTCGTGGCCGCCTGGATACCAGCTCTGACCTCATTCTCGTGCGCATCTTGATCTCGCTGGTTTGTTTCTCTGGCTGTCTCGTTGGCAAGAGTTCTTGCCGGCGATGTTGTCGTCAGGCGTCGAAGCACCTGGGCACTGCATCTGATGTTCTGCAGCCGCCCTACGCCATTTCTGCTGACGGCTGGCAATTGCCACAGCGAAAGAGGAGTGTTTAGTTGTAAACACCCTCGACGAAACACGTAGCTCATTGCTGCTACTATCTCGCCAATTGCGAAGAAAGATGATGGCGAATTTGCATTGAGTTACTGGACTCATTCCTGGCTCCCACATGTTCTCAGGCATGGCACTGGACGCGGAGGAAAGCTCCTGGGCGCACCGAAAGTGACGTCACTGCCTTGTATACCTTTGTCCAGCTGATGCCACGCCACGCCACGCCAACCTCCCATTGAATGATCTTCGTTGAAAAACGCGAGTATGATCTAAATATCATCATGTAGACTTGAAAGCCGGGTATCGTAACTGCTCGGGTCGCAGCTGGTGTCGCCATCACCAAGCAAACGTCACTTTCCACCATGGAGCTTCCGGATAACCAGAGACTTTCGGCTAGCAAGCTAGTGCCCCAGTAGTCCGGTAAGTTTCTTCCTGCATCATCATCGATGCTTATTTTCGCTGTCGTCAAAGCCATTACCTGCTATGCGGGCCGGTGATTTTGTTCGGGGAGCCCAAAGTCGTCATGACGCCTTGGTTCGACATGTTAATGCGAATTAGCAGATACTGCGCTGCCAATGATCTGAGTAAGGATCAAGTGTCATAGCGCGAGATCGGCTAAGATCGGCTAAGATCGTGTTATCCCCATTTACATGGTAGAGAAGGTCTCGAGAATCCGCAGAACCAAGTCAAGGGTCCAGATGCTCCAGATTCAACAGACGGTCTACCTTTTTAGCTGGTGCGCTGGGTCCATATGGAAGAGTCAACTGCGAACGTTATGCAACCCCCCCCCTCATTGAAGTGCCATCGAGCTCCATGAAGCCGTTGTGCTTAGCTGGCCCAGCCCACTTTCTGTACGGCGCCAAAGAGGACGGTCACTTATAGGCGACGCCGAGAAATAGTGGCACCAGGTACAGGGGTTGATCTGTGATGTGTGATGTGTTGGCGTCTCAAGAGTACGCAATACCGCCAGCTCTGGCCCCAGAGCTCTGGCCCCAGCCATCCGACATAACCTCTACAGCGAGAGGCGGGCGTCGGAGCGGGCGTCAGAACAGGCGTCAGAACGGGCGTGGGTATTTCCACAATGGGTAACACGCGCGCAACCAGCCAATCAGATATGACCAAGCCAATAGAGCCAGTGCAGTTTGCGGCAGTGTCAGATCCCAGCTCACGTCTGCCCAATTGTCGGCTTCACGGCCTATTGATGTCGCGGTGAGTTGAAGGCGCTGGTTCGGCATCGTCAGCAGCTGCAGTCTTGGCTGAGGAATGGTTGGGAATGCTGACCCTGCAGGCCGTACCATCCTGCTTTTTTATTTTCAATTTGCCTATGTTTTAACCTGGGCTGTGTCTGAGCCACTATGCCCGACGAATCGATCCTTTCGAGTTTGATCTCTTACGGAGCTATGAAAGCTCTTGGTTCCCGCGACCTCTGACGTATAAGACTAACAAGACTAGTAACTCATCACCCGCACGTCCTACACACCACACCACATCATACCACGTATAAGTACTTTGCCTTATTTCGGTACTCCTACTGCTTTCCTCCTCCGCATCCAATCCCAACGACCAAACACGAATCCACCAGTCCTCACACACTTCTATCGCCCATCATCATGTCGACTGGGAATTTCTCCAGAGACTTCATCGTTGCCATTGCCGCGGCAGCGTCGGCAACCATCGCCTTCACCATCCTGATCTGCGTCTGTGCCCAATGCGGACCGAATCTGCTGGGCCGTGTGTCAGTGGGTGAGAACTGGTTCCAACCGGGCAAAAAGGACGAAAAGAGAGATCTGCCATTCGTGCAGAGTAGCAAAACTCTGACGCCTGGGGAATACGTCTAAAGAGCAGCGGCCCGGCATCTGTGAACGATACATCAATATGAACAAACGCCGAGCCCGAGGAGGGTACGGCTCCCACGCGGTAGATGGACGGGACTCGATCGACCCACCACGGGGGTTCATGAAAAATCGTATGCTGCTTTTCGATGGCAATGGCCCTTGTCGAGACTTGTCTTGAAAATGGGTACTACGATTTATGAGCTATTAACGGCTTGAACATGTCGCAGCGAATCTGCATTGCCACAGCGCCGCTGTCAGTTCGTACTTAGCGTTCCCAAAGTACACCCAAAGACGCGAGCAAGTTGCGTCGAGCTGCTCTCTGTCGCATTGATGGTAACGGCAAACGCGGACTATTCAAATTCAAATCCTCGCTGCAAATTCAAGAGGCTCCCTCGAGAATGAGTCAACGTCTGCAAGAGAAACAAAGAACGGCGCCGAGTGGAGGTGTTTGAACGCCAAGTGGGACGACGAAGGCTGCTTCTCATTGGGGCCGGCTCACCCGGATTGTAATATTGTGGTTACGCGCCACTACTTTTAAACAAAGTTCGACAATGCTCAGGCGGATTGCGAATAGCGTGCAAAAATTGCTTGTAATATGCACAAGAAACTGGTTTTCATTGTAGTTTTAATTTAGCTATGTTAACACGACTATATCTTACATGCAAACGTCCGCCTCCAATCGCTAGGTTTGTGGCCAACGACCGTCGACCACCACTATCTATTTTGCTGTCGCCTTGAGTCCAATTGCTCAATTACCCGGAAACGCCGTTGAGCAAGTGGCGCTGTTCCACTTGGTTACAGTCACCGTTGGATTACTAGTTCCGCCGCCACCATACTGTCCAGGCGGCGCGCAGCTCATAGTTAACAAAGAAACAGAAGTAATCGTCCGGGTCTGGATACTTGTCTGGGTGCTGATCAAGGTGACCGTAATGCTGGTGCTGGGCGAAATACCTGTGCCTGTCGGGTTGAACAAGGTGGAGGTGTCGGACGACATGGTGGTGTTGACCCACTGGGTGAAAGATGACGTAGTCGTGGCGCTGGACCCCGTGGCTGGCTGAGCAGACGCTGTAGTCCAGCCCCTGGATGGGGTTAAGGTGACTCGGGTAGTGGTCGTGAGGTCGGTCGTGACGACAATGGTTGTTGGCAGATCTGTCGTGGTGGACGAAGGCACCGACGTGGTGAAGATGTCGGTCAATGAAAAAGTGGTGGGGATGGAAAATGTGTAGCTAATCGGCTTAGAAGTGGATTGCCAAGTAGACGGGTGGGCGGCGCCGCTCGAGCCAGTGACGGTCGAATTTGGTTTGTATGTTGATTGCCATGTGTAAGTGTACGCAGGGGCAGAAGCTGAAGGGGCAGAAGTAGTGGCTGAAGACCCTGTAATGGCATCAGCGCTTCCTGTTGTGAATCCAGTGGAGGAACCAGTGCAGGAAGTAGAAGTAGTGAAGGTCAAAGACTGGGTTGAAGAACCAGTCGCCGGCTTGGCGCTCTGTGTTGTGAACCCAGTGGAAGTTTCAGTACTGTAAGTTGAAGTGGTAGAGCCAGTAGCAGCCAGCGTGTCGCTCGTGGAAGTCCCTGATCCTCCGATAGTGGATGTCATGGTGCTAGGGAGGGGGGCCACAGTTCTGGTTTGGATAATTGTGATGGCTGCCGAGTCCCAGATCGACGACGGGATGGATCCAGTTCCTGCGGCAGTGCTCGCTGCAGTGGTACCCAAAGAATCAGTGCATGTTGTTGAATTTGCCCAGGGTCCTTGTGAGCCCGATGGGTTGGTCGAAGCCGGCGAATTGGACGTAACCGTCGACCCCGTCCCGTATCCGACAGAGCTGGTGCTAGACGAGGATGCAGTGCCTGTGGAGAACACAGCCGTGGTGCTCGAGGGAATCACGGACCCAGTGGAACTCATCACGACCGAGGAGGTCGACGGGGTACAGGAAGAAGCAGGGGTAGGGGCAAGGCAGCGGCCGGGCTTCAGCATCAAGTCCTCGGTCGAAGCAAGTATCTCAGAACCACAGTCCTTGTAATTTGCCATGAATACCGACCTCTTCTCCTGATCAAAGACCACTAAGAATCATCGTTAGCATGCCTTTCACCGCCTCATGTACGTGTTCGGACACTTACCATAAGCTGCTCGCATGAAGTTGTCACCGATGATTGCAGAAACACCGGGCATGGCCTCCGCCAGTCCCAGGAGACACTGATTGGGCTCCCTCTCCCAGATTAACTCGTGGAAAGGAACATTGATGATTGCATCACCAAAGCCGAAGTCGAGAGTGGCATCTCGGTCCCGGTATTGGCAGTCGATAGTCCATGCACCAACGTTCTCGTTGAAGACAGCAGCAGGGAAGTAAGCCAATGCGGCCTTCATCACATCTTCGGGTAAGATGGTGAAGCTCGCGCCCGTATCAATGATGGCCGAGAACTCCTGACGACTGAGCTCTTGAGATTGGCAACTTGTTTGCGACGAAACGCCCAAGTATGTCTGGTTGACCCAGTATCTTCAACCAATTAGCTCGTCGTGCCTTAAAGCCGAGGATATCTCGGGAGTAGGAACTTACGTCTTGTGCCCGTCAGGGCCAGGGAAGATCAGCGGCACCTCTTGCAGAGTTCCAGCGAACTTTTTGACATCCAAACCGGAGAAGAGCAGGTCGCCTGTATGTGCGTTAGCCAAGTAACACGCAAAAGGACATAACGTGGGTAGCACTCACCAGACTCGTTGTCAACGCTTCCAGCTGCAACGCTGAACTGTCTGCGTGTAATGTACGACTGGTCGTAGAGCTGGTCCAGGACATTGTTGTAGTTGATGTTCTCGCCCGAACCGTAAGATAAGCCCAGGATACCAGTGTCCACAATAGAACTGTTGGTAGCAACTCCGAATTGAGTATGCGTGAGATTTGCCCCTGTTGGACAGTCAGAGAAATAGCAATCGACACTGTTGGAACGGCAATAGCATACCGCCGATCAGGACATTATCCTCGTAGTAGTCTCCCACCGCGCTTCCGATCTCATAGAAGATAGTAAAGCCATTGAAAGAAGGGACGACCGATGAACTGTTCGAAGCGCCCGGATCGTAGAATCCGGCGCCATGGCAGAACTCTGGGTCTGCAGCCTTCGTGCAGTTAGGGTTAACCCAAAGCTCATCGGAACCAGTGTCGAGTTGCACAGTGACATGCTGGACAGGAGTGCCAATTAGCACTATCAAATGCATGTCAGCACTCTATATCAAGTATTTGGGTTGGGTGTCACATACGCTCCACTGTATACACAGTTCCCCGGTATTGTGTCAGGGTGGTGTTGATTGGTTCATCTCGCGAGACCAGCGACAGAGAAGACGAAGAGCGGACCAAAGAGTTTCGCCTCATCGGCAGTCGCATGAAGCCCTCATCCTTCGGAGATGCAAGACTTGCGGTGCCGATAGAGGCAAGACCGAGAATCAGAAGAGGCAACATGGTGCCTGGTGAGATGGTGTTAACGAATGAATGAGCACAGAAGACTCCGGGCAACACAGGTCAGACGGAGACTGACTCTCGTGAAGTGATCACGGTTGAACATTCAAATCTTCTTCAACAGCCGATGCCACCTCACATCGACAGGTCTTATACCAACGCAAATGCACCAACACTCGGAAATTCAACCAGGTCAGCAAACTTGAGCGAGGCTGCCCACAGGGCAAACGGATGCTCGATGCCCAATTTGTTGGGTGATCGTCTCACATCGCGGCAGGACAGCAGCATGCGGCAAGGAGACGGTGGGAGTTTTCGGCTCTACTAGCCTACGGACAATCCATTAAGGAGCTCCATGGCAAGGGGTAGCTTAGCTGAGTGAAGCAAGGACGTTGTGTTGGAGCGCAAGCTTTGAATTGGCATGTGGCACAAAAGATCTGGTAAGGAGATGTCATCCCAGACGTTTGTTAGCTCCCGGCAAACATTGTGGCACAACTCATTTCGATCCTGTAGTCTTTTAGCGGAGTGCAGCAGCGTCATGTACCACTATAGGGGAAATTACTGTTTGCTTGCAAATCTGACCGCGCTCGGTACGATCCGTATTGCCCTTCACCCCCAAATCTTCTCGGCAGCACTCAAGCGTGGCAGATGGAATGCTGTTTGACAGCCATTTCTCCAGGATATTCTTCGCAGGATGATTTTGATTGACTATTCTTGAATCGCTTCTCAAGTAGCCTTATTGTCCACTTGCTCACGCTGTGGCTTACTGTGCTCAATATCACCTGTCACCGAAATCGCTTCGTTCGGTCGCTCGCTACCCTCTGCCAGAGGGCTTGGCAAGCAGGCACCCGAGTTGACAGACTCAAGCGAAAGACCATCATCATCATGTGCCATGTTGGTCAAGTAAGACCTTCCGACACGTTCTAATGATCAATCTCAGATGTACGACCCAGCAGCTGATACACAGGTTTCGTTGATATTTGGTCTAGTTGTGACGACTCTTTCTTCTATGGCCATGCGATATACCGTGTACGAGCCGCTGCAAATGGAATATCTGGAATACCACGTCCAGATCCTCCGAACTTAAGTTGAAATCACGCCGAGTGACTTCTTCCTGTGGTAACTTGTGTTCCGGTGTAATTGACCGCCTCCCTCGTGTCCGCGAAACAGCCCGAGGTGGATCAACATCTGATCCAAATTGCGCAAGTTGTGTTTGTGTTGAGGATGCAGAATACTCGAAGTCAGCCTTGATTCCCTCGACTAGGTGTTCAATGCAGCTTGTGTTGTAAGGTAAAGTCAACTCGAACCTTTGCAATCATGGTCGAGAACACGTGCACTCGACTGATCAAAGGTATCAAGCTGGACGAGGCTCGTCACCAAGGCGGGGATACTGTTTGAAAAAGCAACAACATCGTGTGAGCCCATTCGGCTTCATCTATATTATCGGTAGGAACTCGGTGCCGTGTTCTGGGGTACTGCTTCCGTATATGGTGACATCAAAGTACTCATTGGCAAATGGTACAAGCTGCACCCGGAAAGACGCCAAGAAATCTTCCTCGCAATCACATTCGCCCTCAAGCCCTGCGCCTTCTTGGTGTTGATAGCATCGGTTTGTTCTACATCCACAGGTTCTATGACGTGACGCCCGTTGAAAAGCACCATTGAAGGCTTTGGTGGAGCTGAAGAAGTGATCACTTCTGAACTCTGTTACGAATAAGTGACATATTGAATCTCACATAGCGAAGGAAAGATTAAACTCATCAGGATGTCTAAGTACTCGGCATCGAGAATGACTCAGGCATTCAGCTGCTCGAGACGTGTCGAGAGCTCGGGGGCGCCATTGTCCCATACTGTCCTCTGGGCGGAGGGTTCCTGACAGGCCGTCACCGGTCTCTGAATGGTTTCGGAGAGAGCGATAGCCGGCGTTACTTGCCCAGATTTACTCCTGAGAACTTCCCGAAGAATCTGGAGCTGGTCAAAAATTTGGAGAGATGGCGGTCGAGAGAAACGCCACCTCGGCGCGAGTAGTCCTGGCTTGGATCATGGCTCAAGGCGACGATTTCTTCCCAATTCCGGGTACCAAGTCGGCGAAGTACCTGGAGCAGAACCTAGGTTCGGTGGATGAGCAGATATGCGAACTAGTAGATAGCATAGGGGGGTTTGGCAGTAGGCAGTCGGTTGGCACGTCCATCGCCGACACACAGCCCTTTGAGATAACTCACCCTTCTGTGTTCCTCGACTTCATAAATTCCGTAGCAGTTTTGCATGAACACGGTTGTCCCTTATAATACACGCGCATACTCAACCCCAGTCTCTTGAATTTGGCGGTTGTGTGGGGTCGTAGGAAATCATGTGCAAAGAACGATTTGGCGATTGGTTCCATATTATCAATCCATCAAAAATATGTGGCACTTGAAGGTACCGATATTTGATTAATTGTACCAGGGGTCGCATACGTAGGTTTGTCCAAGAAGCTCGAGTTGGTGAAACTGTATTATGGCCTGCGCAACGGCTGAGAGCGATCCTTGCCTCTAGGAAAGAAGGTAGGGGCTTTCAATTGAAGATTCAGGCATCATAAAATCGACACTTCTGCGCTACTGTACCGTACTGTAACTGAGTAATGATCGTGACGGTTCCGACAACCCTTCATTAGCATGCGGGCGAACTCATGCTGTCAATATGAAGTTCACCAACAGAATCTTATTCAACTCCAATTTATTCGAGGGCTCTGTGGACTGCGAAAGATCAAATTTGAGGAACGAGCGACAGCGATTCCAAATTGACAGCCGCCATCATGTATTCGGCTCAGCCCCGGACACGGTTCGAGAGCCCTCTTTCGCGGGCGGAGTCTCTCGTCTAGAATGCTACGGCGATGGACCTGTAGTCCATATGGCGACATTTGTCGACAATGAGTGTTTCCATTGCTGAAATGGTGAAATCGCCAATATTTTATTGTGGTAAGAGGATTCCCCAAACACACACGACAGATTTGACGACCCCCCCCTTCGCGACCCCTTCATGGTCGGCATCGAGCTCTGCAATCGCCATCGGTGAAGTTATCCTATGCGATGCCAAAAATGGAAGCTGCTGGTATACGTGTTCGTAAGTCGGTGGACTTTGTCATTGTTGCAATGCTAGTGTATTTGGCCCAGTGGAGTAGCAAATGATACAAAACAAGCAACAACCACATTTCATCGGTGCACATCGAAAACGATAACGATCCTAAGCCAGTGTGCTTCCTCGAGCATCACCTGAGGAGCAGGCAAGGATAGGTTTGCTCGTAAAGCACTAATCGTATTGTGACGATGACGGGCGCGGTCTTTTCCTGGCACAATTTCACCTGCACCGACCAAAAGTTCAGATCCAGTGTTGTTCTTCGTAAATGGTGTCAGGATTCCATTGTTGGCTCTGCAAGGTTCTCCATCATGGGCGCGATTGCTGCCTACAGTGACACATGCGAATACTGCATAGTCCAGCGTTTCCATGTCAGTCTTTCTCCCAGGTAGTGACGCATTGGCTGGCTGTAATCTGTTGTTTCCTAAACACGAATCGGAAGCGTCGGCGGTGCCACAATTCTCGTGTCGAAGATGCGTCTGTCAAGGACCTTGAAGTCGAATAACTGGTCGAGCTCCCCCTTGACATTCATGAGCTCCTCCGCGGCCTTCCTCATCTTTTCGGGCTGGGTGTCCTCAATAACGTTCAGTTTTACGTGAAGCGTCCACTTCCGAGAGGGGTCAAGTGGTCGGAGATCCGACCAAGGCGGCAAAGTGGGCGAAGGCGCTGACTGTTCAAGGGATGATGATGGTAGATAGTAATATCTGTTGAGTGAGAACTCGATGGTTTCTCTGACATATGTGTATGTCTCCTGTATCATCTCTGTCTTGTATCTGTTGCCCGACTGTTAACAAACCGCTGCCAGACTTCTACTCGCAATGTGGAGCAACTTACACATGATCGTTGTCGCTCATGATAGTAAGCAGATTCCGCTGATCAGGGATGTCTATCCTCTTCCTTTGCGTGATGGGCAAATCAGGAATCTCGACACGGGCCCTTTGAATTCCAGGCGTGTTGGTTTCCATCTTCTTTCTAACGTTATCGCGTAAGAGATCAGGGAAATCCAACCATCGCAGCGTACCAGGCACATTGTTGAGGTCCACTACATTGCCATTGCTAAAGTCCGTGTCGGTGAAAACTTCATGCGCAAGCTGCAGGACGTAAGACGTTCGAGTCAACGGCTTGCTTAGCTCATTCCATGTCGCCTGAAGTGCAGCACGGGCTTGCGGATTGGAAATTTTCGGCAATGATTTCAACACGGTAAGACCTTTTGGTTGCGGTTGGCCGGCGTAGAAGGAGACACGGTAGACGTTGTGACGTGCTTGCATCCACGAGAGCCCCTGGAGTACTGCGCAAGCCGTGTCAAAGTCGACTTCCCTCACAGCAGCGGTCAAAAAGAGTTCGTGCATCTTGATGTTCTGGCACTGCTGCAAAGATGGGGCAAGATCGGGACAAAGCTAGCAATTGATGGAGGCTTCAAGTAAATTTATGATGGACCGAAATACAAGGTAGAAATTGCAATAGGGCAGTGCACTTCTGTCTGGAATTTGCTCTGGATTAAAGATCGGGGTCAAGTCGGGGTCGAGCAACGACACAATCATGGATACGCAAGGAGACCTGGTGATGACCTCTTCAAGTGCTTGTTCGCGGTATGAGGTTTGAAAGCAACAGCAACGAGACCAGCTAATTGCCCCACTTTGACAAGTCAACCATTAAAGCAAAATCAAAATGGAACGCGGAACCACGCACGGCCACTTCAGCCACATGTCGGACCCCAAAATTACTTCACTCGAAATCCTAACACAACTCTGACGAGCCTCTCCTTGCAATAGACACCTCTCGTTTCTGTCTCGCTGACACCGCTAGGTGAATAAACCAGGAGGCGTAGTCATAGGCCTATTAGGTTTAATTCGGAATTTGATTGAAAGCATCCCTCACCGAATCGCTGTTATACCTAAGGCAACGGGCTGCTATAGATATTATTGAAAATATGAAGTTCTCAGCATAGGGTCTTTCATTATATAGCGATTGACCGTAAGGAAGGAAGGTGAAAGGTCTTACTCAATCGTCCAGCTATGTACAGGTGCGTGCGCAGAGGCTCAAAGGCTCGGCAAATATATCATCCGGTGGGCCTTCCTCAGAGCGGGTGAGAGCCGTGGTAGAGGAGGACCTTTAAATAGCCATCTGCATGTGTCCCCGGCGGCTATTTGAGTGAGAAATGGTAGAGGGCTGCCCGACTGAAGATGTTGGTCACTTGGTTTGTTAAGCGCGGGGTGGGTGGACTTCAGTGCATACGGAGACTTATATCCCCTGATTGCAGTAAATTTAGAAGTAAATTCCGATGAGAGTTGCAGTGCATATGCCAGCTCCATGTGCTAGGGTTGCACAGCATAACAGTATCTTTTTATAGCGACTGTTTTTCTCGCGCACAGGTAGGAACAACTATCAGTCTTGCGTGACTACCATGTGCGTTATACATTTCCCAGAATTGTTGCCTGTCTAGATTTAGGTTTGGAGTGTCTACAGAAAAGAAGCGATCTTACTAATCATGGGTCAAAGCTGTTATCAAATAATATACCCCGGAACCTATGCTATTGCAAGTGGTTTTACCGAGGCATGTAGTTAGAGTCAGACTCCCTGGGTTTCTCTGAATAGGTTGTGAGTGGCCTCCATAGTTGTATTTGTGATTTATTTAGACTAATATTCAAAAACTGTTTAAGGTCACTCAGCTGTGATTTGAAGTGATATTGGCTAAGTATTCTGATCTCTTTTGCACGTACTGTACTTCTGCAGGAAGTGTGGGTAACATTCCACATAGTCTGGTTCCCGATCCACCAACATGCCGGATGGGCCGAATGCATAGTGAAACACTTGCTGCCTGGCCATTTACATGCGACTATTTCCAAGCAAAGCCACTCGGGACTTGAAAATATTATTATTATTAAATACGCCGTAGGCTCGAAGCCCCCGGTACCTCTGCTAGTACTCCCGTATGTCAAACCGTGCCCTAATGGCTGGACTAAATACATACGCTGCGTCGTCGGTTCGCCCTATTGGCGACTGCGTTGCGTTCACTACCATACTACGTTGGTTCTCAACCTACCAACAAAGTCCCCCCTGAGAAGATCGATGCTATCTGGGCCTTGAAGCTGTCCGACCCGTCCCTAGCAGCCACCTTACAATAGTCCCACTAACTACTGGTTCTCCTGTTGCCGTTGCGAGGTCTCTGCGAGAGTATAGTGGCCGTGGTGCGATGGCGGCCCGTAATCGTTCCCTCGGTCCTTCCAACAGCCCGCAAAAGAGGATTACGTGCTCTGCCGTCTCAGGGGCGTCGCCACAGCGGCATAGCGGCGAGTACACGCCAAAAGCCCCTGTCTTGAATAAGAAGGCTGCTAGTCCTATTTTTTCCGTCCTGATCTGGCACAGCGTAAACGCCTCCAGTCGGTTCAGGCCGAAATACCTGCCCCCTTTCGGTATCTGCATCGAAGGGCCCTCCGGTTCCTCAGCGATAGCGCGTCGCTGGCGATCGTGATGCTCTGCTCCGGTGAGCCATCTCTTCCTCCAGTGGCCGAGGAGGGCAGCCGGGACCTCCTTTTCCTCACTCATCCACTCGGAGCCCCGGGCCTCCTTCCTAAGATAGAGGTCTAGTGGCGGGATTGCTGCTTCTGCTTCCAGGTGGCGAACCGGCGTCGCTTTGTGGGCACCACAGACTACCCGGAGGCACTCGTTCTGTATCCCCATCAGGCTCTTAGCTGGCCCTGCCGGTTCCTCACTTATAGTATGCCACGCAGTCGCCCCGAAGGCGATCGCGCTACGGATAACCACCGTATATAACAGCCTCGCCCGTATAAGATCGCAGCCCCACGACATATTGACTAGCTTTGTCAGGGCTAGCTTTTGAGTTGCCATTTTTGTTTTAACACGCTCAACATGGGCGTGCCACGTCAGTTTGCGGTCGAACCAGACTCCTAGGAACCTCGCTGAGACTACCGGCGACACTGTGGCGTCCCCAAGGCGAATACTTTGCGGCAAGGGCTCTCGGGCCCTAGTAAAGTGCATTAGCTCACTCTTGTCAGGAGCGAACTCCATCCCGTGCCTCACTGCCCACCGCTGACACGTAGCCCATGCGCATGATTCAGCGTTGCAAGTGCATTCTTGAAAATATGTGTAGTGCTTCATGGCCCTTCGTCCTACTGCACTGCAGCAGGACGAGGTGTTGAATTTATCCAGTGCCAATTCTGCGCCGCGGACTTCTGAACTTGTAAAGCTTGCAGCGCCGTGATCCTGCCGAAGATGCGGAGACGGTTAGAGCCAAGTTTAGAGACGCAAGCCTACCCAAGCTGCATGGACGAGGCCAGGCGATTTCGATGGTATTCTTTGACTCCATCGTATCTCGTCCAATAGTTGATCATATAGATCCGCTATCAAAAACTATGTAAATGCGTCGGTTCGAATCCGGCGGCGGTTACAGGGACCACGCATGCCCACTGCGAAAGTGATACGGAAAGAATTTAGTAGAGTTGGGTATCCTATTAAAAGAATCTACAGCCCTACACCGATATTATACTTCACCTCCGGGTTAAATTCAGAAAGCTTATAGTGCGAGGGAAGAAATGGTTACGGAGGATACAAATTTGTAGTACAGGGTTATACTTGTATGTAGGACTGGGTAGTTTGCCCGCTATACCTCGGGTCTTCGGACCTACTGTCTTCATAAGCCGTAAGCTTGCATAGGACAGTATAATAAACGAGATTAACAAAAACTATGTAAATGCATGCCCACTATGGAGTGCATAATATTGAGGGCTCTTCCTTCGTTGTAATGTGTGGTTCGATTTTCAGAAAGCCCCGTTACTCTAACCCGGAATGATTGACGATATAGTTAAGATTCAGTATACATAGTAGTGTCGCAATATGGACCTGCCGCCTCCTCATCCTCAGCTCAGGAACGGTTTCATCCTTATCGTTCAAGGTTGTTGGAGCCAAATCGGTTCCTAGCCAATGATAGGCCAGTATTGTCAGGATATGTAACAAGCAGGGCTCGCCAGCACAGCCCCGACACCATGTCAAATGTATAGCTGCGATAGCTGGCGCTGAGAACTAGAGCCATGGTATATGAATGCGGCGATGATCAACAGACGCTCTTTGCTGAGTTCATCAGGATTGCCATCCTGCCTAAGAATCTGCAACCCTGCACATAAGTATCATGCCAATAAAGGTCATGACCTATCGGTATTCGCAACCAGATTAATCACTTAAAGCTACGTAGCAGACTCAGCCACCTAATAGCCGCTATCCATAGTGGCGCAACGCCTCGACCAATTCGAAGTCCCTCAGTTGGACTAGGGAGGGTCAACTTGGAACGGTCAGACGCGGGATGCATCCAGTACATTCTTTACGAATCCTGTGCTGCCTACCCCCAAAACACTAGATTTATCCGAGTGTTATATGCGTACAGGGCGCAATCAGCATTAAGAACCAAGCTGTGACTTGAGATATTCCGAATTATAGATCCTCACTCCAGGAATTAGATCATTGTAACGATAATACCACTTGTGATTTGTTCATCTAGTGGCCCTGCCTTTGTGACCTTCTCAGATAGACTCGGTATCGCGTAGCTTAGCAAATAGAAAGAAACACTGTGCCGCAAGCTTGCCTCTTGCTACATGGACCGTGCCATGGGTTTTTCTCTGGAAAGAAAGTCCGTGTTGGGAAAGATCATCGAGTTCTGCTTGAGAATGTTACTCACGTCGTACGGGAAATCACCGTAAAATATGAATTATGAACTAAAAACTATACGCCGCAGGATCGTTCCTTTGGACAGCGTGGTGACTTAGTAGGACGAAGGATTTGCTCTTTTCACCTCTGGTGTGTCTACAGAAGCGAAACGCCCAGTACTACACCGACGCGTGCCGTGAACTTGTCACTCAAAAGGCCTCTCCAATGGCTATGAGGAACGCTGTCAAGTTGTAGGGATTGCATTCCTCTAGCCATTTTGGGACGCTATGATACCCAATCTTTGGCAGCTCGGGGTCTTCCACAACAAACCTATGATCCTTCGGGCTATCTGCTTTTGAATTCACAACATTTGGCAGCACCTTCGGGCTACCCATTCGCCGCCGTGATCAAGTAGTTCTATTTATTGTGATACTAGACCACGCTTTCATGACTTCTTGCAACTCTCTCCTTGGCCAGTCGTGCTACAGCTTGGTGTTGGATATCCTGGGAGATGCAGGAACTTGTGCTACTGCCATCTCGATAAACCTGCCACAGGGTTCGGCGTTAGGCGATCAAGTCGCGGGGGTGGGTTGGGCTGTTACTTAATCAAAGCTTTTTGAATCCTTCGCCAACGTATAGGGTGCAAACGTCACATGATATGTCAGAAAGTGATGCAGCCGAAAAGCCAGGG